GTATAACTACACGTATATAAATTCGAAGTAATAAAAAAACAAATTAAACGTGGCAGGAAGTAGCTACAATGACTTTGGATCAATTTCAATTATTCAGATTATTATCTTTGTTTTTCATTGAAAGTTGAAAGCTGTAAAACGATTGTGGCACAGGTCATCAGCTATTGTGTACAATTTTAACTTCGAGTGCACATATCCTAAAAGTTCTTAGAAGTGCACATGGGGGACAAGTGATCTCAATTTATTTAAAACTCGAAATATCTCCTAAATTATGGATTTTTAGAAAAAACGGTGTAGAAACATGTTTTGAAGTTTAATATTTGTTCTTTCTGGTAGAATAATTGAGATCAATAAAAAAATAAGGTAAAGTAATAAGAAAGGAGTTTAAATCAGGATGTTTTCAAAGATCGTGGCTAGTAATAGTGTGCAGAATCACTTATTAAATTTTCTGACATCTGTTTTCGAACACCCAATGTATCGTTGGGGAGTTCGACACTGTTCCAGAATCTGGATATTCTCTATCAGTATGTTTATGGAATATTTTATGAAGATCATTCTTTATTTGTTATTTATATATCATTAATGTACCTCAATTTCCTATATTCTTTTAATTTTATGCAAACATTCACGCACACGCGAATGATAAACGAAAATATATTAGGTTGTCGCACATGAAATGATCGCTTTATTACCGGACACTCGATATTACATCGAACATTATACGAATTTTATTAGGCAAAGTAAGATTAAACAGACTCTATACACGTTTTTCATTGAAATACAAGTGTTACATTCATGTTATATTCATTGCATAATTATTATACCGAATCTGAAGGTGACTCATCAAAGACACGTTTAGCTGCCATCCTTCCACCGAATGTTGTCATCGCTAAATAGTATATTTTTTTAGCAGAAATTTGCATGTATCTTTGTAAAATTTATTTATGAATTTGGCTTGAATGTCTTTTTGTCTTGAATTTACCCAAGACTGATTCCCTAACTTAATTAACTTTACTGTTTCACATAATTGATTTTATCATTACGTTATATGGTACCTTAAAACGAGGTGAGTACCTACATCGTATAATTTTTGCAATAAAGAAATGGGCTACATGAATAATTTCCATTCATAACAGTAACGCCAAATAATCCTATCGTTAAATGACCCATTTTTTTTTGTGTGCAACGATCTAAAATTACAGTGTCACTGATTAAACTGCTTTGTTGCTTCATTAATATCGGTGAGTGTATATCGCCGAAATCGATTTTATATTTTCTCTACCTTTCATGTACCTACTTTTGGCACTCAGCTGTTATGTCGATTTATTGATAGGCGTGACTTACAAGGTATCGCACGCGATAGGAGGATTGTTATTTAACACTTTATCCGCGGGCATTTTACGCTTATCTTGTTCAATTCGAAACTAAAACGGTGAGTTTAATACACGGGACAGCTTTCTATAAAAGATCTTTATTGATATCGAACAATTTATATGATATCTATTGCTCATAACTAGACCGAAGATCTTTACAGAAATTACACATTAAAACACTAATTTATAAATATGAAAATTAGAAACTATCCGTTCCAGACGTGTTATTATAAATTCACAATTTCAAGCATCACTTAATAGAAATAAAAATATAGGAGTTTCTTTTCTGTACTAGACGTGTTAGAATTCTAAATTCACAATATCAAGCATCAACTTATAGAAATAAAAATTAGAAATTTATTTCTTGTACTGCACGTGTTATTATAAATTCACAATTTTCAGCACTAATTTGTGCAAGTAAAAATTAGAAATTTATTTCCTCTACTAGAGGTGTATCATATCAATGATAACATATAAATATTATTAAACTATATTAATGTCTATATTTTGAAGCGCTACGAACGCATAAACATCCACGGTCTAGTCATAAAAGTCCCTCCTTCCATTTTCCATAGATTTCCGTCATGTTTCTGGCAGGAGTTGAATGAAAATGAAATAAAACCCGCGATACACGTGTAGTTCACAATTTTCTTGTGAAATCAGACATCTGTGCGTGTAAGTAATCCAAGGAGACTTGTCTTACCTATTCAGATATATTGTTATCCACGATTACTCACGCACTGAGGTTTCTTTCGACGCTTCCGTTATTTAGGTTTCTTCCTTTTTCTGTTTTTGTTGCGCAATATTTACGGCGTATCGTGAATTAAATTGCTCCGTCTGTCGGGAACTGATGAAGCACGGTTAAGGGGTTCAATTTCGATAAAAGCGCTCTGGATGTTACCTACATAGACAGCTCGAACACGAGCTTTCACGCAGGACTGGCGAGAAAAACTGTCCGGAGAAAATATGAGATTTGATGTTCCCGTCTGGCCCGATCGATTTTTTCCAACTAGATGGTACCGATATGTTAAGAACGATATATGTACTATTTTTTCTACGATTCCATATGTATCTATACCCCCTGAACCCTTTAAGTGTTTTATATCATTTCGAAAACGTGCACTTGTGTGCTTAATTATTTGCAAGCTATGACGAGTATACTCGACGAAAGTAGAGTAAATGCATTTACTCTAATTAAAGTTGAAATAAATTCTAATGAAATGACAAAATTACTCTTGCGACTTGAGAACTATCTATTGTCAGAAAAAGTCACTATCTCATCGAACAACCCTCGTACATATACTGCTGTATATGTCTTTTTTACGAGTGATTTGTTTTTCTTTGTATGTTTTTTTTTCTCGTAAAAAAATACTGCAAAATGTGTTAAAATTAAGAATATATTTGTTGTTGTACCTAAATTTTACTTTAAATAACAAATGCAAATTGTTTCAGTCATTCGTCATGAACCAGTACGCTTAGAATCCGGCTAGGACTTATAAGTATTTACTACTTCTTGGAAGTTGTCTGAGATGCTGTAAAATTATGTCGACACTCAGAGACACCATATTTAGCTATTTGAATAAAAAAAATTCCAAAAAGTACAGAAAACCATATCTAAACAGTTTTCAAGTATGTGGAATAAAAATTGTTGTAAAAAAATAACGATAACATAATTCAGGCCTTAAAAGGTCAATTTTTACAAAATTCGCATGGTGTGCAGCAACAATTTACAAGTACTTTTATTATTACACAAAACTAAGGCGATGCAGTTTCATTCCAGGAATGTGTGATAGTTTATAAATTTCGTGTAGTCCCTCAGATGTCACGTAGCCGGTTAAGGGTTGATAAGAAATACCAGGTTTAGAAAGTATGTTAATCGAGAATAATATTTCAAATTGAAATAAGATACGTATAATATTAATTACTCGTTGAATCACCATGAACCGATCGAATCTTCTATGTTGTTACTCTATAAATAATTCTCGTAACACATTTCCAACGATCGCTGGCTCTCTTTCTGCTTATTTTTATGGAAATAAGGGTTAACGCCCTGCCACACGGTACATTAGTGTCCCCCCAGGCGATTAACAATCAACGACACATAAGAATAATTTACAAAGTCCGGGGTTGCCCCGAGAGTGAACTTGTTAGTTTCCTAACGGGGATACGTAGAAATGCGCAATCGATGGGAAAATCCTGTCACGGAAGAAAAAGTGTTTACTCGTTTTGGTACGCTTGCATAGTCGCGTGAGATATGGAATTCTTCGAAAAATAAAACCGAGGCGAAAATTTTACAACGATGCAGACGACAGATCAAACGATCTTTAGTTTCTTTTTTTATTTTTTTTTTTAACGAAATCGCGTCATTCTGATGAAATATGAGCATTTTGAAACTGACGTCGTGGTGATTTCAATGATAGACGGAACTGTAGCTTCAAACACGAGAATAATAGTAGGACGTTGAGAAATATGACGAAAATTATGTATTCAGTAATAAAATAGTTGCTTGTTGATAACTACGATAGACTCAACACTTTCAGCAGGTAACATAACCGGAGTCTCGCTTATTCCAAACAATATATGTAGTACCTAAATATTACGGATAAAGTAGCCAAAAACATTGAGATCAATTTCAGACAGCGAGTTCAGTGTGCTAGGCCTGCGTTCGGAGTGGATTAACTGAAAATTCATGTGAACTCGGATTGGAAAATTTTTTTGTTGTCCTTATGATTCTTACCATTATGATTTATAACTACAAGGCAGACCTTTATGTAAATTCAGATTTTTATTGATTAATTTATTGAGTTCAAATCAAGTTAGACATTTATTTTCTTTATTGAACGTGTTACTAGATCCAAGGAAAAGTAAAATTTATAATGATCCTTACTAAAATTTTACTGTATATGATATAAATGTATAAAATCCGGAGTTTAATCGTAAATTATTCAGTAACAAACGGTAAGAATTATTCGTGAATGCTATGCTAATAAATACACTAATCAAATCAATTAAAGATCAAAATGATGATTAGAAAGCTGTTTATAAAAACAAAACTAGGTCCATTATCAATTTATGAAACGTGCAATATTTCGTTTTGCTTGGTTGGGGCAAGTAAACCAATCGCAGTAATGCTCGTCTGTTTTAAACAGCATAATTTCTACGACCATTTTGCCTTTCATTTTTTATAAAAAATTTGTTTTCATTTTATACAGATCACACACTATATTTTTGATCAGATGGCAAAACGTGATATGTACAATTTTGCTCACTCTACAGTACAGCAATTTTAAAATTCACTTAACTGTGAAAAATTACATTTTTTTTAGTCTCATAGATTGCCATCTTAACTTTTTTTTTTGTAAAATCACACGACAGAGAGATGCCACGTTTTGCCAATTTCTGGATTCCATCTAAACATACACGAAAGAGCGCGTATTCAAAATTTTAACGAAAATTGGACCCTATCGCATTTTGCCATCCGATCACAGATATCATCTTATGTAAACACTTTACGTAATATCTATAAAGATTTCAACGTTAAAACGGTGTGTCTAAATACCTCAGAAGTAACAGAGAAAGGGGGCGAAAAAAGGGGTCATAGAAAAGAAAGAAAGTATGTAAACTTACACTTTATGAGCTGTACAACGTCCGTGTGCGTGGACTGCATCACATTCACGCCGTTAACCTGGAAATACCCGGTGATAGTTAGGAACCGTACAGATTGGTTGCAAAATAAAAATAATCGAAACAAATACGTCTAACAGATTGTTGATAATTTATATTTACAAAATTCCATGAATTTGTACATTCAAGTAATACGAATTGTAAAATTTATCGCTGCTAATATTACTTTAGAGGAAATTTTTTTCATTGCTACTCTGCGATAATAGTAAATTCGAAGTGAGCTCACCTTGATTATTTTGTCGCCCGCGTGAAGGCCAGCTCTCGCGGCTGCACCGCCTACAATGCATCACAATTTTTTGTCGTTAAAAATCAAGTCCAATGCTTACAGAAATAAATTACCGTAAAATTAATGATTTGCTAATCAATTATATGATCTGCACTATCTTCCACTATTCTCGATTATTTTTATTATTCCGACGAGACTCTCTGGTGATTTATTTCGCTCACGGTGTTTTATTTGTTTTCGACTATATTAGAAACATAACGTGGTCGTAAATGAATTTCCACGAAGAGAAATTACGTAGAAAACGTCTGTCTTCTTTCAAGCGTTTTATTAGATTAAAAATGAAATGGAAATACTCTTTACTTTTTGTGCCGTTTTTTGTGTCATTGCACGCGTTTTGTAAATGCAGAAACATCCGTAATTCGATTCATTGGAAACCTTTTAATAAGATGTTTCAATGCAAACGGTTACGTAACATGAAATAAATGATACAGTCACCTGTCCTATCATTTTCAATTTTCAATAATGAATTATATTTAATCCAGCGTAAAATAGAATGAACAGAAACTAAATAAGTAGGAACCCATCTTTTTGCGTTAACGTTGAATTCCACGAACTATATGTATATTCTTCTATGCTTATTTAAAGTAAGACTAAAGACGACATTACATATAAAACGAAGTACACGGTACGAAAATTTATGTACTTGTAGATACGAAAAGCATCTGCACACATCTTCCTTCTTTCCCTCGTTTTTGACTTGATAGTAATTTTACCTTTTCTCACGCACATTTCCATTTTCATTTACTTAATACCTTCTCTAAATTTATGAAAAATATAATAATGACGTTAGTTACACGTTTAGAGGTTGTTAGAATAACATTAATAAAATTTCTACAAAGTAACACTATTTTCCACATAGCAATTTTACCCTATTTAATATTCATAATGATTTCCTATCTTACTCCATTTTTACTGAATAAAAGGTCATAAAGGCATCTTTAACTGAGATATATTACCTTAGAATTTAAAAAAAATAGTGGATTACTTATTGATACACCTGATAGTAATAATCACCTGAACACTACCACAATCCTAAAATATCCGCAGTCTACCGATCACTACATAAGAACAAACTGTGCAAATGCTTTTGGTGCCCACAACGTGGCTATCGATAACGCGAACCGAAGGGCACCAGTTAAGTCGTTCGAATAACCAAATTATTAACCGTATTTATAAACCCTATTTCATTGGATTTTAGAACAAAAATGACTGCTAAAGATTTTAACAACGGAGCAACGTACCTTCTCAATATATTGAATCCTGTGAATAACCCAATTATTAACCGCATTGAAAACAATATACTTTGGTATTTTACAAAGAAACCAAACTCTAAATATTCTAACAACGAAACCTATGTACCTTCGATATATTGAATCTTCTGAATAATCAAATTATTAACCGTATTGAAAACTATTACACCCTACGATTTTAGAACGAAACAGAGCGTTAAATATTTTAACGAGGGAGCAACGTACCTTCGGTATGTTAAATCCTTCGGAATACCCAATTTTATAACCGTACCGTGAAATTATACACCGGTAGTTAGTATTTTCGAACGAGACCGAGCGTTAAAGATTCTAACGGCGGGGCGCACGTACCTTCCTTCACAGACTGAACATAGACGGGGTTATCACCGGAGACTTTCATCCCGTATCCGGCCTCGTCCTTGTAGACGACGAGGGTGGCGACGGGTGCTGGTTCGACGGTTCCACCCCCGGTGGCGCCCCCTCCGCCGCCACCGCCACCGCCGCCGCCGCCACCGACGCTGCGTCGCAACGCCGCCGTTCCATTCATCCCTCCTTCGATCTCCGCCTGGTGGCCTCCCCTCACCTCTGCGCTGGCTGCAGCACAACTGTATGACCTGTAAACGAAATACAGAGGATCGACTTGAAAACGATGGAAAACCGAGAGGGGGAGGGGGGTTCAATACATGCTCTGCGGTGAAAAGTTTCTAATTGGTTAAGGGAAGGAACAGGGTGATTCTCATGTATAACACACCACTCGAGTAGGCCTCCATTGTCTTTTGTTTTAAATCTCCCCCTCCTTTCTAGCTACTATACGGCGACACTGTAACGTGGGTGAATTGTTAGGAGTAAACGTCGCCTGTAGTGGCTCTCTTCTGTGGAGCAGGTTAACATTTCCATGGCCGCTGTCACGGAGACGTGAATTCGCATCCGCCAATAGGGTTATGTCGCGAAGTTTGAATAATGGCGGTTTCGACGTTTCTCTTGATAGGTGTATTGTAATGACTAAACTGCAGATTTTTATGGAAAATTACTAATTGTAATGTGATTTATAGAGACAAGAAAACTCGTTGCATCTAACGGGAATTTTTGTCTTTTATTGTATTTCACAGTAAGCGGTTGCCGGCCGGCGTCACGTGACTTCGCTCTGTTTTGACATTTAAATAATGGCGGTTTCAATGATTCTAACCTTCTAAGTGTATTTTAATAACCAGACTGTAGATTTTTATGAAAACTGAAATAAATATAGGAATTTCTTGTTTCTCTTATGTAGACAGTAGTAAATATAAGAATTTCTTGTTTCTCTTATGTATCTTATTGAGTTGTGAATACAATGGAAAAGTCGTTACATTCTATGAAAGTTTTGTTTTTTATTGTATTTCATAGAGCCTTATAAGCTATAAATCCATAAAATCTACGCGAGAGATGCCGATAATTAACATTAAATTCCGAGTAACATGGAAACCTTATTGGAGTACAATACACTGTTTACTGCAATGGATTTTAAACACTACTGGGTCATCTCATAATCTCGTACTGCAATTTGTTTATGTTTTACTAGGTTTCTCGATGACATTAAAGAATCTTGTAATTTGTATTCATAGGGGAGTGAATAGTAATAGAATTTTATCGATCAATAGTAATCTTTCAGCTATAGCTGATAAACCAGGAATATTTTCAAGTTTCTTCTGAATGTGACAAAAACGAACTGTGTAGACTGTCACCTACAAACACTCATCGTTCCATTATAACTGTAATATTGCAATAATTTGTTTTCCGTGCTTGCAATTTTGTATATTTTGTTTTAATCAATGTTGTACAATAACCTTGGTAATAGGAAGAAAATGAAAATTCAATGGAGGAAAAAATGCTTGAGAAATTTCTATCGATTATTCCTTAATGCATTTAAACTAGGCACCATATTTAATCTGTTTCTTGTCCCATAGAGTTTCCATCGTGCATTCTCATAAAATCAACCTTAATTACAACGATTAGAAATTATTGATTTCGTTTAATGGACTCGTCAAACCATAAAGCATCACGGATAAGCGTTATAAATTATTGTTATCCATCTGAACCGGGTATCCAAGTACTCTCGAGTCACTCGACTACTCGAACACTGGTATCCACCATAGTTGCTCCAGACATATCGAATGATAATAAACTTCAACAGCAGTTAGTCAAGTTTTAGTCTTCTATTAGTCATATAAATTCTATTACTTCTAAAACTTTTATTGCTCGTTCGCATAAATTATTATGCCCTTTAAGGGCGGAATTTTGTTTTGAAAATGTGTAACCATCTAATTCCTTCATTCTAGTAAAAGAAATATATTTTTCAATTTTTACTGAAATTTCGTTTTTTATAACAAAAGTTATTTTATTTTTTCCACACGGCGGGTATACTCGTCAAACGCCGTTAAAGGGTTAAGAGCGACCGTAGTCATCCATACAAATTTCCCATAGCTGATAATCAGAACATTCAAGACTTTCAAATATCGAATCATGTTCGAAGTGATTCGACTTTTTCGCCACATGTTCATATTCGAAGTAATTCAGAGCCCTACAACACTTTTTTCTAGTTCCACCATGACGAAAAGATTAAATAAAATAGGCTACTTATAATAAAAAAAAATATTAATAACCTGTTAGTTTACATACAAAACTTAATGTCAGAACAAAAATAATCGATTGTCTTGTGGAATACCATTATCTCGAACAAAAGACTATAAATTAGGTACATACTCGAAAAATCGTAAATACCTAAGTAATAACACAGGATGCATGAATGCAACATTTATGCATTACGTTTCACGTTTCTGGATAATTTAAGCGTAATCGTGTGTACCCAATTTATCCAGATATCCACAGATCTATTAAAACTCATTATTCTATGTTTACCCGACAAAGCATTTGCAAACAGTACGAAGTATAGTTCATAGAGCCACGGCGAAACAAAGCAGTAAATATTTGTACTTGTTCCGAACGAGGCATTATGAACAGTTCAGAATGAATTGCAATTTTATTTAACAAAGAAAACGAGTGCATGTGACAAAAGTAACGTCTCGAAATTTATACTTTACATTTGAAAACTGACAAGAACCCTGACCTTCTACATAGCTACGTTCAGCAGTTTTAAATTCGATTCAGATTACGAATAGAGGAACTTTTGGTTGACAGAAATATTGTAACTAGCATTTTCTTGACTATTTTCTGAAAACTAGGATCAATGAAAAAATTCTATACTGAAGAGTTTCACAAGCTAACACCGAACTTCAAGCTCGATACAATTAGAGTGACAAAAAAAACGAAACAAATGCTTGGATAAACTGACGTTTTTCATACGATGGCAATACCTAATTTTGTTTTTATAAAAAAAAAATAGAAAACTTTCCAGGAATTATATGCCATGTTGATGAGCACAACGGCTGTAATATGCGATCCCCGAATTGTTTTGAACAATGTATATATTAGTTTCATTGCATTTTTTTGTATTTTTATGTAAAATCAGCAATTTCACCTTTAAGTAGAAGTTAACAGAATATTAAGTTCGCGTGCTATGGTAAGAGGCGAAAGCAACTTTCCAATACATACACAACAGTTCTAATTATTATTCGTACACCTATTAAACCGTAGGAAATTTGTGATTAACCATTAATATAAAATAGAAAAATTTAAATTCAAAGAAATATTTTGTAAAAGTAACTTGTTTAAATTTTTTTAAAACTTGTTAAAAATCCAGAATACAATGATACCACGAACACTTTGGATAAATTATATTTCAATATTATATTATACAAGTCAAATTTGACAGTGTGTTCTACGTGTAAAAATCAGAACAAAATCTTCTACAAACATACAGTCGATGAAAAAATATATAATGGTGAAAAACGTTTTTTTTTCTAGAGCTTACTACAACTGAAAAAAACAGATTTGTAATAGAATTATTTTTAATACATCACAGGATCTATAAAATTATTCAAACGAACAAGTAAGTACAAATACCTTTTTTTGTAATTTGTAACTCCAACAACACATTGAAAAGTATCATACAAAAAAAGTGTTAAACATTCAGCCAATAGACAATGTATTGATCATTTTTAATAATTATGAAAGGTAAATCTAGATAGAATTTTTTTTTTACATTTTAAATTTAAAAACATTTTTACAAGGAAATTTATTTCCTAATCAATTGTCTAATTGAGTTTTTAACCAAATTTCGTTACAGCCCACGTTTTTCTCGAACAAACTAGCAAAGTATCATCGTTTCACTTAGAAACACCCTGCACATTTTCCAAGCTCGAGATTGTCGTGAACTCTAACGTCTATCTAATCGGCTAAATAAATGTTTAACTTATATTTGCAATTTTTTTAATTCTATCGAACGGATAATTGATCTTCATTTCAAATAGGGTAAACTCTCATCAAATGATCTAATGAGAATCTAAAAATGTGCATAAGGATTCGCGGTATGGTAATACACAATAAAGGAAGAAAGCTCATCGTTGGATTTCGTCTTGTTTATTCGATCACAGTTCAACAATTAATTCCACTTAAAATAATTGTTACGGTTTGAAGACCAGCGCGTTTAAATATACGCAGGATGTTTGATCATTTACTATGTACGAAGCTAATAAATAATTATGCCCCCTTTGCCGCTGGGATTGTCTCTCTCTCATCTGTCATTTACTTTCATAAGCTCGTAATAGTGTGCAATTTACATTCCTGATTAATTATTATTTACTGTCTTCTCATCTATTCGTTTCAAAAACCATACGTATACATATATCGCATCTGCTTTCGAGAAAATATTATACGCAAAAAGGAATCAAAGGCAGTTTCTACTTCAGAAAGAAACGTTTCACTAGTATCCAAACACGAAGATTATTTCTTATCGAGAAAACGTACATTGTTGATAAACTATTATTACCTAGCCATGTTCCATTGATTTATCAAACTCTCTATTGGATATCATCACATTTTTTATCATGAAACTTGATAAAAATATTCTTTATTAAAACCAATATATGCTTTGTTATTTAAATAGATTGGGTTATTCTTAAATCATGCTACACCTTGCAGTCTATACTTGTTATTAAGAATAACCCCTCGTTAAACAAAAATAAAGCAAAGGCCAACATCGTTTTCTAATGAAGGTCTTTTTTCTTTTATCATGCCTTCCCTCCACGTTGTCTTATAAAATTAAGTATTATCACATGCTTATTATAGAACATTATTTGTTTAATTAGTCTTTAAGAAAAAATCAATACCACCAATAGGATCAATAGTATTAGTAGTATTAACACGAACAGGATTTCCAATTCTACCAATCATATCGATAGTACTAATAATGTATATACTATAAATTATCTGAATAGTAACAATATCACCAATGCAATTAATATTGAAAATGATATGAATAACATCAACAGTACCAATGGTATACTATCAATTGAGCCACTCACAAGCCAAAATAACTAACTTCATTTTTTGAATTTTTTTCACATTTTAATGCCAAAGCACTTCACTGATGCTTAATAATTCTATCTAAAAACATGTTAAAATATGAGTAAATGAATAAATTATAATGAAATGTTAAATGTCAAGTTTGTCGAGTTAATCATTTTGGCAAACGGCACGATGGCTATCACGATGTTACTTACACCGAAGAACTATTTCGAATCGCAGAAACGAAACGAACAGTTAAATTGTTCCGACGAAATCGCGGCTCGATAAATGAAATCTCATTGGACCATCTGCGAGACGCGATTAGCAAGAGTTAACAGTTCGACATCTACGTATCATAATCCGTCGAAAACAAGTTTATCGTGCGCGTAGCGTTACAAACGAAAGTTCAAAATCCAATATTTTCATTTTCTTTCCCACGAAATCTTGCCCGATCCCCAATTCTTACGGATTACGGACATATAATGTAATCATATCAAAGGCGTACGGCGACAGTACGCTAGTTATTCTTGAAATAGAACAAGACTGGCCTACTATTTAGATGCATATTTCACCCTTATCCGACGGACATATTTTAAGAACACAGATCCGACTGGAAATCTGTCCAGAATACAGAGGCAAAAATATAATAGTGTAGACACGATGATTCTTTTATAGGGAAACGCTTCGACCGTTCTCGGGGAGAACGTGTATAATTATTTAATCGTAAAAACGAATATTTTGATCATCGTCGTTATCTTCGTGAATAAAGGTCGGAATTATTCACAGCGATGGTAATAATTAACAAACGCCAGTTTCAATTCTGTCGATTTTAATTAAATGTGAATATTCTGGCGCGTAATTGTTTCATTTACTTTTCTTATCTGTATATTATTGATCTTGAAATAGCCCGATCGAGTTAATAGTAGAGAAACATGGAAATCATATTTCCATAAACAGATTGAAACTTTTCGATTTTGTATGTGCTTATCTTTCGAATGAATATGATGTAACTCACGTTCATGAGTATTAGAACGCTTATCGAGTAGGTATGGAGTAAATGTGACACAAGTAGACGTACCGTGTCGAGTAGTAGTGAATGTGAGAAGTAGATGTACACATAGACTCAAATTTTTGGTTAATTTTTCGCAGAAACTGATTTCCTTTGTCAATGATTCTATTAACTTCAAAATAAATGAATTGTTTTGTTAAACACTTTCATAATCCCTTTGTGTTCGAATTCATTTTATAGCTTGAAAAATATATAATTTTTATCAAACATATTTTTTTCATACAGGTCAGATATTCTAATATTTATAAATGACAATGTAGATGAAAATAATTAATACGAAATATTCAATGTGGAAAGAATGATATTATTCTTATTTTTGGGGGGAGAATTGTTCTTTATTAATAATTTGATCGAAAGTTTTTAATATTCAATTTATTCGGCTATATATTCGATAATTGACGATAACGAAGATTCGAAAGGCACTCGGAGCCAGAATTCCTTTATGCAGAAGCATGGAATGGCGAAACGTTATTTAAAATGAAATGATAATTAATTCTGTACAAATGGTGCACCGTAACATCGATACGCTGTGAGGAGCTAAACGAACTTTACCGATTATTGACGAACGCTTAACAGTCAACGGACTTCCAGATTTATATCTAAAATATAAGATAATGCGTCGTACGATTTATCTCTAATTTATGTGGAAGCTTCGTTGAAAAAAACATTGATCTCAGCTATTTGTAAAAAATTAATTAGAAAAAAAAAATATATAAACATAAGAGCATGTTTGTAATATACATGATACAAGAGATATTTACAAGCTTGTGTCAACAAAGTAAGGTTATGTCATTTGCTGTCATACAAAAAGAAAACCGATAATGATAATATGTGTATACACATTGTACAAAACAATTGCATTTTGATGATTAATGACGAAACGATTTGTAGAATGTGTTAAAAATTACTGTTTATAAGTATCATGGCACGACTGCAAGTGTTACCAACGAGGCTTTAGTTTTCGGTACTTTATGGAAGTTTCGTTGTAATTGCATAGTGTAAATAAAGTATCTTTTTTTGGTTAAAAATATGTGAATAGGTAGATATAACACGGCGTAAGTTTGGTTAGTATTTCAGTGGTAGTTTCAATATCACATTTGTGATTTACATGCTTCGTGTCAGACGTGAGCTGAATGCTTTCACGGCGAATTTTAAACGAATCGCGCACAATAATGATATTCTGGCTAATTTTCTTGCTTGTTATTGCATTAAAACGATTTCGAGATTATCGATTTATCGCGCGATGCTTTCGTAACATTCATACTGCGGCCAATATGCAGGTGCCACAAATAATACATTTTTATCTCATGAAACAAAGAAAACGGAAATTAAATTAATTCCGAAGAATTTATTATCATTGTACGTGTTTAAAAGGATAACGCACATTTATTGAGACATTTGAGCAAGCTATTGAATTTATTATCATCTTGAATTACATTCGATACATCTAATGCAAAGTTGAATGTCGTATTAGTGAAATAAAATCCATTCTTTAAAATGATAAATAATGCTATGTTTCAGGCTATAAACTCAATATTTGTTAAGTAATACATGAATACATTTAATGTAAGTCAATGATTCGGTACTAATATCACGAAGTACATTTTCACGGTTATTTGCTACAAGAAATATTTTGCGAATAAACAATGTTTTCAGAACATGTTGAATTAAGATGGAGTATCTTTCATCTAATAGCGCGTTATGATCAAATCTCATTACCAATGTTACTGCCATGTTCAGTTTCCCCATTCTAGTCCTGTTTCGGAGTTTTTTCACGTTAAATATCGTAAACAATCACGCTTTCGCTCGAATACGAATTATGTATTTGAAAACTAATGTTAGAAATCGAGACAGCATTTCAATCGGTTCTTGTGCACCGTCGATTACTATTTAAAAAAGCCGTACAATTAGAAACCGTCTGATTCTAAGAAAACGTAAAAACAGTATGTGACAGCGAAGAAAATTCGAGGAATATGTCAGAGAGAAACTGAGAAACCGTACGTGACATCGTGTTAATCGATACAGCGGGTTAATAGGTCACTCGGTTCTCGTGTATCATAAGTATGAAGAGTCGGAGGAAAAAAAGACAATCGGAATAAAAAAAAGAGAAAATACATGGATATAAGGTTTCGAGAATGACTCGCGGATAGGCGTACCGACGACGATAAATACATACCTTTCATTTAATCTATTTCGTAGCGAAACGAATCTCGTGCGAAACACCAGCGACGGAGAGCAGAACCGCAACAAAGCGAGATATCACTTCACCTTGGCACTATATTCCACGAGAATTATATCACAATTGTCATAACAAAAGAACACATATGAACATGGCTGGTGACGGGTAATTATTCTGCCTCTAGCACTTTCACGGCACATTTTCGTATCTCCTGATAATACATGATAAGAGAACTATATGGTACAAAAGGGAAAACCTCTTCTGTATTAGTTATGGAATCGTGCGTGCACCATACACAGGTACGAAGGCACTGACTTTTTTTAGAAAAATGCACATTCGATCAAACGAAAATACGCTACTAACAAGTGTCAGCCATCTTGTATTGGAGCGAAGCACAACCCAACGTCCCATACTGCATCACGACGGCTGCAGGAGTTTGTACCAAGTTTACACTGGCGAGATTTTAGAGAAGAAACAAGCTGTTCGTGATTGGCGAATGATTTAAAGAGATTTTTCTCATTGGTCGAAACTCTTAGTGGATTTTCGTCCGCGCCATCGTGATTCATTTGAAATGCATTCAATGCATAAGCTCGAGAAAATTTGAAATGCTCTTTCACATTTTAAAAAGTATTAAATATTATTCGAAAAAGTTAACGAATTATTTGATCATGAAAATTATATTTTAAATATTCGGAGGAATTTTACAATGTTTGAATATCAAGGTTTATAAACATGACAAAAAATAGATAAACAAATAGAATGAAAACAATAAACGATTCTTTTAGAACTTTAACAATTATTTGGGTATTTACATAATACACGAAATTAATGTTAAATAGCTCAATTTTCATACGGCAAAGGTGTACAGTAACACGAAGCTTTCTAGTTTAATTTTTTTTTATTTCAAACACATTATTGAAATATCGTTATAAAATAACAATTGTATCTCGCAGGATTTCTTATTTCGTTATATACAAACATAGAATTATTTTTGGTATGCTGCAATTTGGTTTCTGTTACCATATATATTTTGAATACATTAATATTTCATTACACACTTGCATTGGTGTAAGGATTGCATGAAGTTAAGAAAAGGAACTGTACAAAACTACAGTGAACACTATACTCCTTATGAAAAACACATTTGACTTGATACACATTGAACTACTTAAAAAAGGATAAAAAAAATCATACGGCAAGGTGAAATCTAAATTAGGGCTACCTACAAAGTAATATCTGGACGGCTTCGATATATCGTGAAATGTAACGTAACTAACGATATCTACTTTTAATACGTTTGTACAATTCTCAGTCAAACACTTTGACCATGATATATCAGACTCGTTCGAAAAATAAATACCTATTCCTAGTATATTATAATTAGTTAAAGTCTCGGGTTTTGCTAAAGCAGAATACAAAATATGTAAGTGAACAGAAGTTATTAAGCCTGAACAATGTAAACGATCATTGATTAATTGCCCTGTCACAATATTCTGCGGTACTCTATCAAGTAAAATTTGTGCCCAATCAGCTGTATTATTGTTAGTAAAATTGCCTGTCTTTGAAACATAAATACTGTAGTGGTCAGTTTCAGTAATATTAAACATAGAATCTTTAAGCAAGAAGTACATAGTACGATTTTGTAATTCTATACAAGATGATGTATTAAAGTTATTAGTATATAAAGGCACAGAACATCGGATCTTACTGTCTTCTCCAAAGGCAACAGTATACCTATTTATTCCGCTACATTCACCGCCTCTTGTAGCTATAGGTAATGTCAAATAACTATCGGTTTTATTAAAAATGACAGTTTTAACGTTATTGGTGTTGTTTAAAGTACCAATAATTAGTGGCTTTCCGAGAATATAACCAGGATTACCACTAAGAGAAAAACTTTTTTCCTTATCAAGTTCAGCCCATTCGTAAATTGTCTCAAATTGTTGGTAAAAACTTTGAGAAACGTTACCTATACTGAAATATACATTAACGCTGTTAATTCCCGCAGAACCATTATGAACGATTAAATATTTCACACCAGTAACAACATTGTAACATGTTCCATTAACACAAGACCCTGGCATTATAGTATTGTTACATTCTTGCCAAGAATGTTTACAATAATAATTCGTCAACGTGAGACAAATATTCTTGGGACAAATCTGTGAATGAAAAATTTTATGTGTAAAAAACATACATTAACTGGTAAAATATCACTACTTTACAAGTACCTGATCTGACATCTCAATGTAAGTTTCATTTAGCAGATGTGGAGAAGCAATAACAGTAAAATTATTAAATGCTGTTGGAAAGAGGAATTTGTTTGTATTAATTAATTCGGTTTGCAAACACTGATTTTGCCATTTCCGAAGGTATTTTACAGCTTTTTTGAATATACATATGTCGGTAAATCCAGATTGTAACAGTTCTAAAGTAAATCATACAAAGAGGGTTAATAATAATTATTATAATATTATCTGTATGATAATAAATACCAAAGGGTTGGATGTAGATATTCTGTATAATCCATATAATGTCACCATCTTGATAAGGACTCGAAGTATTATATTCAGCTACTTGTAATTGGTTTTCCCAGTTCCATTTCAGTCTATTTGGGTTCATTGCTTCCCTTAAATCTTTTTCAGTTTTTATATCCTATACGAATTTAAAGATTCAATACAACACTAGGGATAAAAGATTTTTTTATACTGAAAACTTACCAGGTCATTGGTGACACTGTATGTAGGTGGAAGATTGTCATACAAAATACAAAAAAGATTGCTCGCTAATTGTTCAAGTATATACGGTGTGTTATTCCGTTCTATAAAATTTCTATTATAACAATATCGTTTATCATACAAATCTGCCTGATGATTTTCGCAATGTGAAAAAACCATTAAATGAAAGTCAGTGCAATCTTTATCACAACAACAATTGATGTCACAGGATGATACCTTTCGTGTAAATAAAGGTGTTAGAATTAATACACATCAGATGCAATTTTTTATATTAAATGTAAGTTATAACAAAACATATCAACTTACTACTAAATTACATTCGCATACATCAGATTGTACTTTATGTACAGAATGATTTCTTATTTCAATTCTGGAGTTCAATTTATTAGGTGTTTGCATAGTTGGTAGTATTTGAATCTTTATATTCTCTGTTGAGTCTGTAGAATTATTGGAACTGACAGTAGTTGAACTATAAATACTTTCAATTGTAGTGGTCAATGATTCTTCAATGTCATCTTTTTCTGATAAATCATTACATTCTGTTTCATTTATACAGGTAAATATCTCTTCAATTTTCTTGGCGTGCATTATTTCATTACACATGATGCAAAAAAGCATTAGTGCAAATGTTTTCCCATTCATCTTGATCATTTTAGATTAAATTGTAGATTCTTGTAAATTTTGTTGATAAACAATAATATCCTAATGCATGTTTACATATGACATCCATATTTTTCAAAGTTTCGTGTGAGTATGTGTATTTCCATTTTAACTGTACCCATACTTTCTGTAAGTAATTCAAATCTATCCAAAGAATTAACTAGAACATTTGGTGATTTTAATTGTAAAGTTATTCCCAAAAATTTATCTCTTAGTCTGTCTTTCCAGTTACCTATAGAAATGTTCAAATTGAAAAATACATTATATATGTAAAGTGATAAAATATTTTAGAAGGTATTGTTACAAAATGTTTAACTTACCAATTGGTTTCCATGTATGGCATTCTATAGAATGTAGTCCAGGAGATAGAGGAATATTACAAACACCATAAGATGTAAATAATATTCTTTCATGTGTGTCTCTACAATATATTTGAAGCAAAAGTTTGGGTGAATTTTGAAGAGTTTGTGTTGTATAATGTATATCTATTGGATGATCCCAAACTGGTTCATTTGTATATAAATCACAACTTTCTTGTGTCTGTCCTTCTTCACAACCATTCAAAACTTTCCAACCATTACCTACAACAAAAACAAATTTTTATTTACAAAGCCAAAAATTAATACTTTCGTATTTATAAAATAATAAACAACTAAATTACCGGCATGAAAACTCCACTTGCATAAAAGCCGTGATTGTTTAAAACTTATTGCCGACGAAATTTGACCAATCACATGCAATTCAGCCATTCCATAAAATCATATTGTTTTATTTATCAACTGAAATTGTAATGTATAAAATTGTTTACTTCTACAACTACTGAAACTGCATTTTTTTACAGAACTTGTGATAACGATTATGGATCAACTATTATCGAAATCAGCGGATCCTTGTACTTTTCAAGTTTTCACTACTTATGGTATCATAAGTTGCTTTTACTGAATTGAATATTAAAATTATATAGTTTTGAAATAAAGTAAAAACATAAAAACACGAATATTTACATACATTCACACGCATTCACAATAATCTATAATCTTTGACATAGAAATGCATTATAGATACGTATATGCAGGTGCACTGTGCACTTTTGAATACGCCCTCTCGGGATATTTTAGTTAAATTACATGACTAAATTAAATAAAACTTTGAACCTTAGAGTTTTTTTTAATATTATTTAACAATATTTGAATTTTCTCTTCCTTAATAATTTCATTGACGATTTCCAATTATATTGTAAATTTAAAATATTATATGTGCTTTTTCACTTGCTTTATCGTTTCTTCACCTTTGTGTGTATGTATGTATGTAAATATATGTAACACTGTTTTCAAAGCGTAAAAAAGTGTATGTAATATAAATTAAGAAAGCGTTATATAAAGTGATTCGTTAATTCATATTGATTACCAAAATAGTGAATTGACAAGTCGGATCGAATTTAACGTTAGATATATCACAGGTTATGTTTCTACAGTGACGTTTGACAGATACTGTTACTTGCTTTTAGTATAAAATTATTTTTCTAACTTATTTAGTGTTCAAGTTTGTAATCAGAATGGAAACTAAACCAAAAAGTGAACACTTGTTAGCACTGAAAGGTAACAGATCCATTTTTTTCTAATATGATATTTGATATTACACTTGTACACATATATTTACTGCACTTATTTCAACTGTAATCTAGACAAAAACCAAATACTTTTAGCAATTATGCATTTAAAACATGTAATACAATGTTTTCAGTGATGAGATTAACTCGACCTACTCTTGCAAGTCCAGTAGTGGTTACTTGCGATTCAATGGATCTTCCTGGAAATACATTAAATAATGAACTGAAAAATGATTGTACTGCTTTGCAAGGAATGGAAACTCTTGCTGTAGGACAATTTATGGTTTTACCACAAAGTTTTGGGTATATGCATCCTAATATAAGAATTATATATTATATAGCATAATACAACAATTGCATTATGTACTTTAATCTACATACTAAATACATAGTGATATACAGCCTATGAATTTTTATGTAAATTAACAATTTTATAAGCTAATTTACAAGAATAATAATTGAACAAAAATTCTTTCTAAAACTTCTCTACTAAAGAATTTATTGGACTAAATGTTTTTACATTTTTTTTTAGATAATTTATCATTGTTTATTAATATTTTCATGTTATAATGGTTTAAGCATTGATATATACATAAAATGTAGAGTCTAACGATAAGTAATGAAATAATACTCATTATCGTTACCTATATGAAACAGTTTAATTGAATGTGTATATATGCTTTTCCAGGAACATTTATTTAGGTGAAATCTTTTCAAGCTATCTTTGTGTACATAATGGCAGTAATCAGTTAGTCAAAAATGTTATTGTTAAAGTAAGTAATGTTTTTACATTACAATTATGATGTATAGATTTTACTGATATGATACTTATTGTAGCAGTAGTTTCATATATTCAAAATACAATAAATTGCTGTTAACGATTTTTTGTATTACAGGCAGATTTACGAACAAGTACTCAAATTATTCCCCTTTCTGGTAGTAGTAGAGAAATGAAAGATTTACCACCTGATAGTACAGTTGATGAAGTAATACATCATGAAGTAAAAGAAATGGGCACACATCTGTAAGGACATAGGGTTGAAAACTTTTGTGTAAATACTTAAGAACTAAATAATCAATACAAATATGTTTCAGACTAGTATGTGAAGTAATTTATACACCTACAAATTCAAGTGGCACTCCACAGTCATTTACAAAGTATTATAAACTTCAAGTAGTGAAACCCTTAGATGTAAAAACAAAGTTTTATAATGCAGAGGTAACATGTCTTATGATTATAAATTTTATATAATAAAATGTTTTGCTAACGATACTATTTACTTATTTATTTGATAAGGGAAACTTAATAAAAACATTCTTTTCTTGAAGTCAGATGAAGTGTATCTTGAAGCACAAATACAGAATCTTACAGCAGGACCTATATGTTTAGAAAAAGTTTCACTTGAATCATCAAATTTATTTAGCGGTAAGTTCCCTATATTCCATTACTTTGAACAATCTAATTGCAGGCTAAATTACGAATATTTGCATTTCTTTAGTCTCAACTCTCAATACAAACGAAAAAGGAGAATCTATTTATGGATTAGTTAACGTATTAGATACTGATTGTAGCAGACAGTACTTGTATTGCTTAAAACCACAATTAACTTTATTAAAGGATCCAAAAATGATGCACAATGCAACAAATATTGGGAAATTAGATATTATTTGGAGAAGTAATTTAGGAGAAAGGGGAAGACTACAAACAAGTCAGTTACAAAGGATGGTTTGTCATGTTATTTACTATTATATTTGTAAATGAACAAGTTTTGTAGTATCTCATTTATATTTTAATTCTTCAGGCACCTGAATATGGCGATCTACGAGTTACCATGAAAGACATTCCTCTGAAAGTTTATCTTGAACAGTCAGTTAAATTTAATTGTCGTATAATAAATACATCGTAAGTGCTTCTTTAACTATAACAACTTTTTTCTAAATGAATTTATTGAAATTATTTCATCACGTTGTTTTAGAGAAAGAAGTATGGATTTAATGCTTAGTTTGGAATCTAGTAGCTCTATAGCGTGGTGTGGCATATCAAATACAAAGATTGGAACATTAAAACCAGGAGTATCAATAGATATCCCATTGTGTCTGATTGCATTGCATAGTGGTATTATAGTAAGTACTGTTGTGTAAAAATTGAAACTTTAATACGCTAATCTACATTTGAAATATTTCAGACTATCTCAGGGTTAAAGTTGGTAGACACATTCTTGAAGAGGACATATGATTATGATGATTTAGCACAAATATTTGTCAATCAAATAGACTAGTCGGAAATTCAATAAATTATTAAAATTATATTTATTAATTTTTTGTATTGCATTTAAAAATGTAACTAATCATATCCCTAAATAGTTTGAAGTATAATAAGGTATACATAAATAATATAAGTTACATTATTTTATTTTTACAAAACAGATCTTTATTCGAAATATGAATCTATTGTAGACAGTTTTTCAGTTTCATTTACTGCTCCAACAGCACACGCAAGTAGGGTTTGAACATCTTGAGGTTCGTTTCCACCAAAGATATAACCATTAGCCTTATCTACTACATTTTTTACTTGCAGTAACAGTGCTTGATTAGAAACATCCAGTGGTATAAAACTGACAAGACTGTAATCTTCTATCAGTGACACAAAAGCTGCATTTAGTTTTTTGTATCTAGAAAAAATTGGAGAACTTTCCTATATTAAAAATAATGAGACTATAACTGCTATGAAAATGTGCAGAAAGGAGGCTCACTTTGATGTAAATGGGTTTTCATCCAATTTATCCAATAAATAGTTTAGATCAAGTACTTCAGTATAAAAATCTACATTGAAATCTAGACAATGACTAAACTTTTTCATTTCGTCAAACTTTGTCATAACGTTAACATGAGGTAAACCTAGCTTTAACATGGTTGTTGTACAAAGAATTATGGATGATAAATATTTACCTACAATCCGAAATATCATTAGTATGTAATATTATCTTTGTAAATATATATTTTTCTGTAACAATGTTCAGAACACAACAGTAGTAAATAGAATTGATAGGTACCAGCATCACTACAATGGTGAGAATCTACAAGATGCACACTGCATAGCCTGACTAAATTTTGTCCTAATTTTTCAGCAATTACACTAATTGAGTTGTGATGTGTATATAACTCAACCTGTTAATAAAAATTGAAGTATAATGTCAGTAGGATTAAAATAGAACTTATATGTACACACCTGCCCTGGACAGTCAATAATGATATAATAATCTTTTAAATTTAAAACTTTTGTAATTAGCCATTTTATATTAGCTTCTAAGAATTCCATGCAATAAACAAGAGCTCCATTTGGTCCAAGTCTATAATGTGACATTACTTCTTCGTGTTTTATTAATTCGGATATATCAACTGTTGGTTTATATTCCATGTTTTCATTTGCTGGATCTGTAAAAAAATAAGGATAAAGGTAAAATATTTCTATAGTTGCTACCTATGTCAATAGTTTCAATATCAGTTTTTACCTATATTAATAACAGCTACTTTTCTACCCAGTTTCTCCAAAAATTTTGCCATAGCATGACAGTATGTAGTTTTCCCACTCCCAGGTGGGCCAATGACTAATTGACCAAAAATTAAAGTCATAATTGCATCTTTATGTTACAACATCACCACGGCTTTATTTCATTTATAGCTGCAGCAATGGCTTTTAAAGTATCTGAATCATAATCTTTTAGAGATATTGAAACTAATAATGGTTTATCTGGAGTAATTTGTTCAGCTATGAATTTGGCAGCTGCAGCAACTTCGATATCATCTCTTCCAAATACAACCCTAAATGAAACATTTACATTAATTGTTATATGCAATAAATAAATAGGAAAAATATAGATATTTTACAATATTCATTAAGTTACTTACTTTATAGAATTATAACTACCACCAAACTGCTGCAATATAGGTCCTCGAGTTACTGATACCAAGGAACCAAATTTCTTAAAATGCGTAATAATCAATAATATACGATTACTGAAAAAATATGTAAACAATTTAATATCTTAAAATTATTGTGAATGAAAAATACTTGTTCAAATAAAATTATACAAATTATTACGTTAAAAATTTTTTATTTTTTTACCTATAGATTTTCAAAGCAATATCGGTATGATGACCGTGTGTTATGATGGCACAAACATAATTTTTCATATTTTCTGTATTTGTCTGTAATTAAATTTAATTACTACAGTCTGTAATTAAATTAATTTTTTGTTTTGTAATTAATTTATTGCATCTAATACACTTATACAACATTTAAGAAACGTCAAACAATATTTGCCCAAATCATACAAATGCAACCACGGTGGTACATCTCCCCAGTTTTTCTTGGTTAGAGTTAGAGGGTCTCTATTCTTGGTTAGTTCTTGGTCATTTTGCAGCGTCATAGATAACAAAGATCAGCAGAGTGCCGGAAATCCGGGACACGTTTGAATTTTGGGACGATTTATAATAGACAAGACACTGAGAACGGCGGTTATCGTGAATATATCATATGTATGTAAATGATAAATTGTTTATTTTATCTTTATACTAATGAATTACAATGATATAAGATGTTATTATATAAATTACGGATCATTATGTATTTATAAAACTTTTCTAACAATATTTTAAAAGAACTTTTTAAAGAGATTTAGAAGAAACTGTTTAAAGAGAATTTATTTGTATTCTGTGTATGTAAGCAAATGATTATTGTGTTGCATTGTACTTACAAAAAAGAGTTGCATGTTTCAGTTCAATTTTTCTATTTATACTAAATTGTATAATAATTAGGTAAAACCTAAGGAACAGATCTCATAATTTGTGCAAAAATATGTTGGTTTAATAAGACCTATGTATGTATCTTAAAGTATTTCTCTTTAATACTAGATACAATGTCAAACGCAAATACATTATACAATATCAAAACGTTTTACAATGTAGAACACATAGTTAAACATAAGTACAGAATAATAAATTCACAATGAATACTGATAGTCCATGTACTATATGCATATGTAAAGAATGAGATCATCCTAGTTTCTTATAAGTAATTTCTTAAGAAAAGCTGTCGTAAATACATAAATTCAATCATTACTATTCAAATTACATAGTAATGATGTATATACATATACAATGATAAAATCAGTAAATCCATTTATATAATTATTATCATACAATGTACCAAAATGATACTGTACATCAAGAAATATCTATTTAAAAATGCCTGAAATAATTTGTTATTATTTTGCAATGACTATATCTAAATGGCTACAATCGTATTATTATTTAGTAATAAAACTTTATGAAATATAACATTAATAAGTACTTTGTTTTGTAATATAGTCATGGTACAAAATTATTTAAAAACTGCATTCAAATTTCTGATTATTCCTATATTTGTAACGTATCCTTTATCACTCCTTTAGAATATCTTTGTCATTAAATAGAAAGTTATTTTTCGAAAAATCGTATTTCTTCAATCTTATTCTAAACCTGCGGACGGATAATGTTACCAGCAATAATTGCCTTACATTTCGGTTTCAAAACAAATATAAAAAATAAAGGTATAAAATATAGCAAAAAAATTGCAATGGTAACTGCACAAAGTAAAAAATAATATCTACTAATACCTAACATACATAAGATGACTATATACAACACTTAATAAATATTATGTAGATATAATTGAAATACAAGCACTTGCTCATTGATGATGTCAATTTAATTCTAATTCTGGAACATATGATTCTGTAATTGCTGTGATGGGACAAATGCTTAACGTGTCCTAAAAATATAAAACATGATAGAGTATGTATAATGAAAAAGTATTTTATATTGAAAATGAAATAATTAAAAGGAACATTTACCAATCTTGTAAGTTCAGCAAATGTTGGTCTTTCTTGACTATCAGTGTGCCAGCAAGATAACATGACTTCATAAAGTGGATCGGGAGTATCTAATAACTGTGGTAATCTTATTCCTCGTTCAACTGCTTCTTCTACTTCACTGTCTAGTGTCAGATTAGAATAAGGTGTACCACCCATACTGAGCATTTCCCATAAAAGCACACCAAATGCCCAAATTACACCTGATATGTGTTTCTTTCTATTACCAAAACATTCAACGGCTGTCCACCGAGTATACTTTAGATCTTCTAACGCGTATTTGGAAATACCATGGCCTGTCAGTTTAGGCGTCCAATCATTGCAAATACCTATGCTACGAGCACACAGATGATCATGTACAATTTTGCAATTTTCAAGATGCTGCAAAGCAGATGCCACCATAGACCCAATAAGTAATATCTGATTAACTGGAAATATATTTCCAGACCTTGCAGCTAGCAATTGACTTTTTAACGTCTGAGTTGGCATTTCCAGGACAACGTATAAAGTGTCTTGTGTTTCACAAGTTCCTACAAGATCTGCAAGGTACTTCATTGGAGATGCTCTGATACAAATATCCAACTCTCTTAACATACTCCTTTTGTCGGATGCTTTTAGTAATCTGTCAGCTATATTATGTACCGCTACAGTGAAGGATTTGCCATCTTTTTCGATTGTACCTGTGTGAACAGTACCAAATCTTCCTCTACGTATTATAGTGTCATTAATTGTTAATGCATTCTGCGGTATAGTCCATACTTTATTTTTTAGTTCCTGATAGTGATTGATCCTTTCAGGTACATCTTCCGGAATATACGCTAAATTGTCCACTTCATATAGTGGTCCTTGTAATGTGAGTTCTTGTTGTTCCGGTAGTTTTGTCATACGAAACTTCTCATGACGTCGTCGTAACGCAAAGTACAATACTACTGAAGCTATTAATAGTGCTCCTAAGATACCAATTGCAACGCAAAGTACAATTGTTATTGCATCCATTTCATTACTTTGATTTATGCCATAACTTTTCATATTGGTAACAGAGTCTGAATAAGCAAACTGTACTTCCCTCTGAAATCTAGAAATCGCTGCTAAGCCTATTCGAGGGGTCATTTGAGAATTCAAAGGTGCATTGTAATATCCTCCAATCATTTTGCCATCTCCGACTGTAAATTTTTTAAATTTATAAAATTCAGACGATTCAAATTCTCCTGTAATATAATATCCTAAACCCAGCTCCATTGATTTTTCATAATTATAGTATGTAACACTGGGACCTGATGGAGGTATTATACTGGGTTGAACAACAAACACTTGATATGCATTAACAGGCCCATATTCACTAGATCCTTCTGAGAGTAGAACAGTTATAGTAGTACTTGTTTGTTCTATCACTTTTGGTATATTTGGTTTATTAGGCGGAGCAATTAATGTCCATCCTGAAATATATGCAGGTTCACTGTTTCCTTGAGTATTTGTGGCAACAATAGATACATTATATTTGGTTCCTGGCTGTAAACCTTGTAAAATAGTATTATTCGAAGAACCACCTTGCACTTGACTTTCCACAACTGGTAATAAATCAGAAGCATGTGTTTCGATAACTACTGCTCTTAGAGTATAAAGTATAATATTTCCATTAGATATATTTGGTGGTTCCCATGTAATTTCTAAACCAGTAGATCTACTGTGAATTATTTGTGCTCCTCTTGGTGGACTTGGACCTAAAGAGAATATGTGTTTATTCATATAAATCTATAAATATAAAAAACTTAGTGACCCTTTATAGCAATGTTCAATAAGTATACCTTTTTGACCTGTAGAATATATACTCATTGCTTCTTGACTGCCACAATAATTATTTGGATCTGCAGTGCAGGGAAGGGTGCAAGAAGTTGATATACCTTTTCTTCCATAATTACTACCACAAAAACATTGTTGACCATTCATCAATCCAGCAAACCTAGTGAAGAATTTATAAAAAATGTTTACATTATTATTGTTGTGTTATTCTACTAACAAATAATATTAGATAATGGTATTATTAAAAAATAAAATTATATAACTTACATATAATAACGTGAACGACATTCTTTGATGCATTCTGCTGGTATGCTAGCACGATTTAATATAAGGGTTGGCAAATCGGGATCCAATACGGAGCTTCGAAAACAACCCTCGTATTTTTGACTAAGCACATGTGTACGTAAATAAAAAATTAACAATAAAAGTATCATTCTGAATCGTATGAATATACAATACAATTTCTACAATATGTTTATTATCAACTTTACTATTTAAGTACAAGATTTAAAATGAAACATGCTTTAAGAATAGCTCATGCTTATATGAGTCAATGAACGACGAGTGATGTCACTACACTGTATATATTTTAGATGAAAGAACAAGGTTAATTGTATATTGTATTTTATTGTTTTTCAGGATATGACAGTCGTGCCTTATATTACTTTTTGCCATCTCTAAGTACTTGAACAGTTCAATAAAAACTTGCGATGTGTCAGAAACATATGTATTGAATTGATTGAAATGCACAAAAAGAAACTTCACGGGCGTGGTTGCATTTATTTACTGCTGTTATTGGTTATTCCTAGCGTTGCAGCTGTTAAATTCCGCGTTCCTTGATATCCTTGGTATCAAATGGCGCTATATACAATAATATACATACATGTATTTAAATAATACAATATACAATAAAGGAATTGCGCTTCTATGAATTAACGTAGAAATATGCAAACAACTGTTATAAAATTGAAACATGTTATTATTATCTATTAATAATTTATTAATTTCATGCATCAACCTATTATTTTAATTTTATATGCTATCAATTTCAAGCTAAATTTTATTGAATTTATTTTATCTTGAGACTTTTAAAGATTAAGAAATAAACGGAGTCTGTAATAATATTTTAGATAAATTATTAAACTATAATTATCTGATTTTATATTGAAAGTTTTGAAAAATGTCTTACAATTTATTTGACGCTAATATTTTTTTTTAACAATTATTCCTTAATGCATTAAAAAATTCGATTTTTAAGCAATCATATTCAATTCATTATTATATTTGTTCAAATGTATAATATTACACAAATTTACTAAAGCATATTAACATCATTTTATTTTACATTGAATAAATACTCATTGTTCTTGTTATATATTAATACTATAAACTTACACTTCTATTTTTCATATAACTGTAATATAATAAAATATGAGAAATAAATTGAGTTATGATTCTCCTTGATAATTGTGTTACAAGTAATTCAATAATTTAGTCTTATATGCAGTGCTGTTAATGAATATTTATGCATTTCTATTTTAATGGAATGAAAAATAATGTGTCAATAACACAACAATAATGTTTTTAATTGCTATTATATAAAAGTATACTTATCCGAAGGAAAGTCACATTTTAATTATATTAATGAAATTTTATAAACAACATAACATTATGGAAGAAAATACAAATGCATGTGTATTTATTGAATTGCAATACAATTTTAAGTCTTTAACAACATTGCTTTTGTGGCACAGGTACATGTAACTTAAGAAAATACAAATACATCATTACAAACCTACTGTAAATAAATCACTTTCATTTATGTGTATTTTAAGTAAATATGTACAATGATCAGCTGAGTTTAATGTAACTATCTTTTGCAAATATAACATCTCGGATTGATATAAACTACATTAAGTTATACTAAAACAAGATGAGATAATATTAATGATGTATTGTAAAATATAGTAAGCATAAAATATGGACTTTTAAATATGTGCTTTTTAATTATTTCGCATACAAAATCTAGAAATGAATTGAAATATCATTCCTTTTAGTTACACTACACACTCATTCTTGTAGATACTAATTTGTAAATATAAAAACAAACGTAAGCTATTGCATTTTAATAATATATATATATATATAAGCAATTAATGGCTCAATACTGGTCTGTTGAGAGTGAGACAACAGCTTACGAATGCCACTTATTTTTACACACATTTTACTACTTTTCATTATATATTGCCGAAATGAACTACTTTTTCATATTACCGGCAATGTTTATGAGTTCTATGATTGAATATATAATTTGACATTAAGAAAGCATTTACATAATTTTTTCTAATATATCAATTTCATATTTTCCTGTTATGAAAACTAGAAACTGTCACTTGAATAATTGTAATTAAATAATTGCGTCATTTTCGTAGAAACATAACATAATATTTAAAGTATAAACAAAAAAGTTATAAGATAATTACGACGATAAAACAAATTGAACACGTTTTAAACATTTTCAAGGTCATATGTACAGTATTTTAATACAGAAATTAAATTCTGATGTAATTTATATAAATCACTATTTTCAGTAGTCATTCTGAAAAATTAGTAAGTCTTAAAATCGATTAAAATGTATCCCTAGTCTAATATGCAGATCGTACGTTCACCACGACAATTCGTTATGAAATACTTACACGTTCTGTATTCCCGGAAGTAGTGATATTTCGATACTGTTCATGAACGAATCATATTTCAGATACACTGAAATTATATTTCTAAGAGGAAGCAGTGTAATTTCTAAAACTACTTACTGTTCGTAATTATTTGTTCGCTATACAATTGTTAAAAAAAATCTTATATTAATAATATAATTTGTTAAACCACAAATCATGATGATAAAGCAGTCTTACAAAAGCGGGCGCACAAACACCTGAGACATTGCCAGAAATTTATCCTTTTTAGAGGAACATTAAGGGTATATTCTTACAAAATCTAAATAGACTAATCGAGAATAATACTTAATTATACACCCTTCAATTAAATAACTTGCTGGTGCTTCCAATGTCCAAGGAATGAAAACTGAAATAACAGTAAAAAAAAATCAGTCCTACTTATGACAATCTTCTTCTCTTGTTAGTTTGCATGTTCTTGTAGGGTTTCTTATTCCCGAGTCCTATGGATGAATGCGATACGATTAGAATCTACATGTTTTATAAAATACAATAACTATCGAATAAATATAATCTGCGTCAATAGACATAAAAGAGTCTCTTACGTTTCAATTGAGCCACTCGTGAACGTGTCAAACGCGGCGATGATTTCGATAAAGGAAGTGGCGGTGCTGAAGTCTTTTTCCTCGACTGAACTATTTGTTCCATAGCTGGAGTCATCCACTTTGCTTTAAGATCCCTGTTTGTAAGAAAATATGATTTTTAAGTACATTTAAGGCATTGAGATATTATGATTTTGAAAGATTAATTATCATACTTACTCTGTTGATTTTGACACCGCTCTATGTCGAAATGTGCTCGATTGTTTTTCTTTCATCCTTTGAATTACATTCAACATAGCGTATGTGGGTAAAGATGGAGGTGGTGGAGATGGTGGTGGTGTGAGTGGTGAAGATGGAGGCTGGACAGTAACTTTTGCTAACTTATCAGGATGTAATGCTAATACTGCCTCCCAACAAAATTCTTTTCTATCGACTGGCCGTTTAGATTGTGTATTTCGCGTAATACGAATCTATTATAAAAATAATCACGATTACTATTATTTATAATATTGTGACACCTTTAATAATGACTAAACAATGAAATTTAGAATTTACCTCGCCATTAACGGGTCTACAGGGTTTTCTTTCTCTCAAATATGGTCGTTTGAAAGACACAGGAAAGGAAATATTTTCGTTAGATTCTCTTACACGATATAAACATGTAGGAACATCATTTTTCTGCTTGTGACCAGATTGAAACAGTCTACGCAAATAGGAATAATTAGGTTTTGTTTCAAATCCTAATTCGGCAATGTATTTTATGTATTCCACAATGGCGGCTGGTAAAAAAGTAATAATATTAATGCTTACATTTTTTTGAATATTTGCTAAAACAATGGTTTGTTTATTATTATATTTAAAGAAATACTTTCTGTACTCTCGAACTGAATAAAATAAATATTGAAAAGATTTTTCAATTTTTGTAAAAAGCTTCTAACTCACCAGGTGGCGGTTTTCTCTTACTAGGAAAACATTTATCCATAAATAATGGTAAATTTGAAAACAAAATCTCTTTTTGTGCATGAACTTCATCTGGATCCATTGTTGACGATACACTATTATCTTCTTTCTCCCATGGTAATCTACCACACAACCATTGTAGTACATTATAACCTAATGTTTCTAAATCCCCTCTTCTTGAATGTGCTGAAACAAAATGTATTTGTAACGAAGCAATACGCAAAATAACAGTATGAAACAGTTTTGTAAGATGTTTCCAAAACTTACTTCCATGATGTGCATCTCTGGATGTAAATTCTAATGTTCCTTCGTGCGCCCTTCTTTCATCATGAACAAATGGCTTATGAACACCTGATCCTGTACGAAAACGATATGCTAAACCATAATCGACTAAGTATGCTTGTGATTTTTTGGAATTTTCGCCTTCTTTGCACAAAGATAATAAAATATTTGATCCTTTAATGTCTGCATGAGCATATCCTCGACTATGAATATATTCAAGTACATCCAACTATAAAAAGAGAAACAAAATATGAATTGTATGAAATGTTAGTACTTCAAGTTCAATAAAAAATTTCTGAAATACCATTTGAACAGTTAGCCTGTTAACAAGTTTCATTGGTAATTGTCGTCCATTTGATAAGAACAATTTTCCGATATCTATACCATATCTTGGAATCACTAAAAATCTGTACTTTTGCCCTCCATATATATGAGAGCCTGATCCTTCATATGTTGGTACACCTATTCGTCTTTTTCCTTGTGATTTACACCAGTTTTCAACTATAATTAATTATACAATAATTACAGAAATACATATATAATTACAAACAGATACAAACAAAATATACATGGTACATATTACATACAAGTTAATTACTTACTCATTTCTTTACGAGCTGCCCTTATGTAGAAATTCATTTCCACAAATAGTGGGCCATTATTATGTGGTTCAATTTTTATAACATACTTTGCATCAGATCTTACTGGAGCATCAATGTCCTTTGATGCTGCAATAAAAAAATAAGAGAAAATTTAGAAATGCAGACAAAAGTACAAATTATGAATGAAATATTTCAAGCATATCTCAAATAAGTTAAACACATTTTTCTTTAAATAAATGAAAAAACTGAAAGAAATCTGTAAGTATCTATTCATACATTAGATATACTATCAATTCAGAAATAATTTTTACCCGAAAAACAAATATGGTTTTTCTTTTTGCTCATTATAATTTTGAGTTATTACAACGAGTCATGAGTTTTTATTAAGATTATATCATTTTCCTTTATCAATTGATTATCTTAATCAAATAATATTGATCATTTCTCCTGTGCATATACCTGACTCGATAGTATTTTAGTATATTCCTTTGTTATCTATATTTCTGCATACTTTATAATTAAATTCAATATGAACTTATGATTTACCCTAATACTAGCAATAGAAAATATATGTACAAAGTAGATACCTAAATATACATCACCAAATCCACCATATCCTATTGCTTGTCCTAGTTTCCATTTATTTTGTGTAATATCTGTTAATATTTCTCCATCTGGTAATTGATCAGGTAACTTACAACCTAAAGCTGCTACTCTTTTAACATGAATTTCTTCGGCTCGTTTTGGTGCCATTATCACTATATAGTCATTTACATAAAACATAATATTCCATTACCTTTAATTGGATACTAAAACATATCATTGTTAATTCAGTACAAATAATAAATATAAAATTCTTTGTGTATAATTATGAAACAAGTTTTATATCTTCTCAATATTTTATTATATACTTTTTGTATTGTATTATATAATAGCTTTAAAAACACATATTGTTTACTATTTAATTAGCAAATGAAAGTGTATTCAAATTAAAAAGAGAAATCATATTGGACCATAAAGAATGTCACAAACGATGTAAAGGTTTATAAACATTCAAAAAATTATAACACACTTTTTTTTAAACAATGGTATTTAAATATAATATATATTGTGAATAATGTACTTTTACATTGTATACATGCAACTTCATAATTTGTTTATTTTATTAATCAAATGGAGTTATAATCTAATTCATGCAAACTTACACAGTAATTAATTAACTTCACTATAACGTAATAACAGCAATAAACTCGAAAACGTAGTACAGTACTTACATGGTGTAACTTCAATAAATATTTATTTTTCTATTTAAGGGGAAACTAAAATTCATTTTACGCATGATTGTTTAACACATTGTAAACATTAGCTTCTCAGATGTCAACGACCGGTATTATGGAGTGATAAATGATATTGTTCCAAATTTTTAAAAAATGGGGTTATTCAATAAATATAAATTACGTTGACGTTTTATAAGAATTATTCAGATCATGTTTTATATTTTCACAGGCATTTTACGTACAATTTGTAAGAATGCTTTTTAATACAGCTTTGTCTCTCCTTTAATCGAACTATACTAGAAAAACCTAATTTTCAAGATTCCATATCCCACTTTCAACCAAAATAGTTAACTAGTAATAAAAAGCACAAAATACTGCCTCATTCTAGCTCTTATGCCTCGGAAAAAAGATCAAAGGACATTGTAGATGATTACACACATTGTTCTAAACATTGGTATCTTCCGTAATTCACAATATTTGTTTTTTGTATTTTTAAATTCTATCAATCCCCCATGAAATTCACCTCACTCATTTTAAGAATACATTACACTGCCTGCCATTTCATGAAATTTATTACAGTGATCAATCTTGTTTCTTCTTGATTTGTCATTTATGTTTGTACGGTTACATCGTTGAGTCAATAATATTATTTTCATCAGACAATGTAGACCTTTTTTTGTATGGGAACTCTTTCCATTAGAACCATATTGTGATTGGTTATAACGAATAATGTAGTATCAGATTGTTTATGCGTTAGAATATATTTTTTTTATAAAAAGATATCTTCGGTATCATAAATTGTTAAGAATTGAATGCCATTTAATGAATTTTTTAAGTTCACATAATATTTCATATTCTTTATAGATGAGTATCCGCGGAATATTATTGTAGGATGGACTGGAGGTCACTCGACCCCAGGGCAGTCCTACTTCTATTGTGTTCTCAATTGGAAGCTTTTCCTTCGTGGCTGAGATGAGGGTGGTGAAATGACGAGTTCAATCATCAGCGTGGTGAAAATAAATAGTATTTTATTTCATGACGTGCGTGTTACGATTCTTATATCGTAAGCATGCGGTTAATACTTAACTACTTACGATAGGTGTAAGCATATGACTTCTATTTTTTATTATTTGAAACCGTACTAAGTCTCCGCATTTTTAAATAGCAAGAAATTTCACCAAATTACACTATCTTTGAATTAGTAGATAATAATCAATCCTAACTTTGTAAAAGATTGATTTTTCAAATTGATGGAAACAGGTCTTTACAAATTAATAGAAACAGGTCTTTGAAAATGAATAGAAACAGGAACAGGTGATTTTGTTATGACGGGTTCTTCTGTAACTTGATTGAACAATACTGAAATATTTTTATGATATTATTATGTGTATTTGCTTTTACTGTATACACAGGTATTTAGATATTAGTTCATTATCCATAATTTGTAAAAGTATTCGTTTGAAACCTTTTATTTGTTGAAATATATAGTTCAGTATTTGGTGTCTTTATGATGTATTGATGAACACACGGGAAGTATACCATCAACCATAGCCTTCTAGAAATGAACAGCGCGTGAAGCCGTAATGGACGAAAAGAAGTGATTGCCAGCTGAAACATTGTGAAAGTGGAAGTTTGAGTTTGTGTATTTAGTAAAACGTTCCATCAGCTTTGCAGTCTGAATAAAATGACATAGATTTTTAAAACGATGATCCAGGCATTGCTTCTATTTTCAAATATATTATGTAAGTATAAAATTAGTTCTTTGTTGAAATCATTTAACGGTTAGAAATACCAAAGCATCCATTAATGTCTTGTCTGGTATCTGTAACTATGTATTATTAAGAGAAACTTGTTCACGTTTTCTGAAATCTACGTGTTCAATAATTTACACGTTAAATAGTTAAATTGAGTATTTATATGTAAAAATTAATGAAACACTGAGCTGATATGTGGTATTTAATTACATGTCAGTAGGCTGCAGTTGAACAGAATGTTAACATGTAAAAGGTTATTATTTGGTAAATATTTGTAAGAAATTGTATGTGATATTTTTAATTTAAATTTCTCCACTGAAGATTTTTAGTATTGTACGTGTGTTAAAAGATTTGTACTCTGTAGACATATTACCCTGACATACTAATATGCATTTGATTGCTTATAATAACCTGTTAGTCCATAGCAGTGTTAATAAAACTGTTTCCAGTTATTGTTAGTTTTTGGTAGACTTCAGGTTTTATAATATACGTGACATTCAAGAACATTTAACCTCATTATAGGCTATAGATTTTATGCATTTACAGCATGAATGAATAACTAAATAAAGTACAATTTATTTTTCAATATAATAAGACTGAAATGGAAGATTCAATTCTCTATTTAATTCCAATATTTGTAAATGAATTCAGGTATTTCACTACTAATTCATTAACTATTTAATAGCAATTAATAAGCTTTTAACATTTTTTTCAGTGTTTTGTCTCTGGTAATGTACTTGGCAATATATTATGCATTTGTGGATATGGGTATTAGATACATATCAATATATAAATATTTGTAATAAAAACACATCTGAATAATAATGTACGTTTTTACAAAAAAAAACACACACACACACACACACACACACGCGCGCGCGCGCGCGCATACACAGATAATATTGTGTACTCATCAATATTAATATATTTCGTATATATTACGTATATATCAAATTGATTTGTTATTTTATACTTTTTAGTGAAAGCACTGCCATAGTACTAATCAAAATAAGAAATGTCTTATCCTGGCCAACCTCCAATGGGAATACCAGGCATGCCACCTATGCCTTATATGGTTGGTGCACCTCCGCCAATCATAGGTGGTGTAATGCCTATGGCACATGTAAGTAAATAATAAATTTATTGTTTCAATATTTTCAGCATGTCTGTTTTTATATGTTGTTCGAGAATTTTTTAATTTTTTCTCAGATATCTTTTGCACTTGTTAAATATTGCTACATATATAGCACAATATACAGTATTTCTCCATCATTAAAGTTTTATTGTACATTATTATCATTTGTATTCTCATGTTTATTTAATACAATACAAAATGTATAATACAAAGTAAAATTCTTTTATATGATACCATTAGTATCCTTTTAGTACTTTGGAATATTTTTCTTTTATTTTTGTTTTTACCTTTTGTGTTTTATTTAATTGATAACAAGTATAAATATAATTAAAAATCTTTGCTGCACGTTATCATTCAGTGTGCATTAATTAAAAAGCTTTACATAAGATACCTCATTAAAACTAATTATGTTCGCAAGTAACATACTTTTATTTACATTAAAAAGAAAATAAAGAGGAAGAGCATGTATTCTCTGGTATAAACAGTTCGACGGAAGCTAATTAATGTGTTCAGTAATAAATAATATGAATCTGATATGTAGCTTATCAAAATATATGCTATCAATAATGTCAGTCACCAATTTTCATGTATGCTTATGCAGTTGTTTTGTGCAATGTTTCTAATAACTTGTGTATAGATTATCAGTGTACAGTGGAGTTTATACTATTTTAAGTAGACCCACTATCCACGGGTGAAACGATAATTTTTTAATGGTCATGTTGCTGACACAAATATTTGTTTTCCTTTTTTTTGTAATTGGTACTTGCATGATGTCATATTTTAATAAAATGTAATAAAACGTGAAGAAACAAACTAATGTGCTATTAGGGGGAGGGGAGATTCTGGATTCTGCATGAGTAGAGATGTGCATTATTAAGAAACCTACCATTTATAAAACATAGATGATTCCAACACCCGTATCTGCGATGCAGACCTCAGCTCCAGCTGTTCGGTATGCACGTAACCAGAATCGTCACGATAATAGTCGTCGACGCGAGAGGGAGTCTGGTCCACCAGTTACTGTGTTTATTGGTAACATTATGGACAGAGCACCTGATGTGATGATTCGACATATTCTGGGTGCATGTGGCCATGTCCTTTCATGGAAGAGAGTCCAAGCATTTGGATTTTGTGAATACGCAGGCCCTGATGCAGGTCTTAGAGCAGTTAGATTACTTCATGACATGGAAATAGGCACAAAGAAACTTGTTGTGAAGGTTGATGCAAAAGCTAAAGTTGTCTTGGATCAATTTAAAGGTAAATTTAAGAATACAAAAGCCTTGGAATCTCAATAAGTTTATTACTCCTACATTGTTTTGGTTTACTTTAGCGGAAAGAAGGAAAAAATTGAGAGGGGGACAGTCACCATTGCAAGATGAAACGTCTACCGAAGGAGCTGAAGGAGAAGAAGGCGAAGATTACATGGATGAAGGTATGAGAGTAGTGGACGCAGATGCATTGGCCCGCATAAATCAAATCATAGCCGAGCATGCTGCTGATTTGGAAATGGCTCAAGTTGCTCCTGGTAATATCTTTATTCTGGTACGAAGTTTTACGCAATTAAATTACAAAACTAATAAAGCGTTTCTTTAATTGTATATGATAGAGGAACATCAAACAAAAATGGTTGCGAAATCCTTGAACTTAGACGACGCGGAAATAGAAGAAAGTAAAAGAGACTTGATTACACGAGAAATTGGCAAATTCAGGGAGGTCATGAAGGTAATTATTTTTACATTTATTTTAACATTCTTCTTCTTATATCACACCTATTTTTTTGTCCTTCTTTTTGGTCATATTGTCGGATGTGATATACCAAAATCATAGAAGGTATTATGAGTCGTGGTCTGATAGGATTGGGTATAGAATTTGGAAAAATTTAGGTTTACAGATGTCAAGAAATATTACAGAACAGTTGTCATCAATCATGTGAAATTTTTACGAAGCATTATAAACATTATTCTGTGATATATTATAAAAAAGTATAATCTTCTAAAATTTTTTTCTAAACTGATTTGTATAATATGTTCTGTGCATATGAAGTTCAATGCAGTTAATAGTGTTTTTTAAGTATATCTTGCAAGAGATGATATTTTACAGAAAGTTCTAATATTTCATTGTTTTATGTTGTTTTTATTTTCATATGGTTTCATATTCAAGTGCTGACAGATAAATCATACAGATGTTACATTATCAAAATTTAATCGAGAATATGTTTGTAATACGTTGTAGTATTTATTTTAGTATCTTCACAGAACATTAGAACAAACTTATTGTTTCATTTATTTGTCTAAAGAAAAAGCAAAGTTATTCTTTCTACAAAGTAGAAGAAAGTACCAATATATTAGAGAATGGTCATGTCTAAATTTTATTTTTGGATTTAAACAAAAATTCTCGCATAATATTTATATTGAATTAAGAAAATTCATATCACCTTTTGTCTTTATTCAAAATGTATCTTCAGTAAATTTATAACTCACGTCTGACTTGTTGAACGATTATACTTTGATCGAGTAAAAATTGGTAATTATTTGCACACGACGCACAATTGTGTTCATAATCGAAGCAATATAATAAACGATATTGCGTTTATATCTGCAATTGATGTCGAACGATTGTCAATTAAATTCTCAACATATATGTAGAACATGAAATAATACATTTGGGCAGGCAAAAGAGGATTACATGTGTATAGTTATAAAGTATAGTTTTTAAGTATTTTGTGATAAAGTGCGTGTGTGCTATGTTAGCTCTAAATAATTGGAGCCGTGACTCGTTGCTATAATTATAATAACAGGCAGCGTGCGTCGCACACAGCAAACGCACACGCCTAGGAATGCTGTGTGTGGGGACCACTCTTTCACTCACTCATTGGCTCTGAAGGGAGTCAATCACAGCACATCCCTCGTATTTTCGCAGGCAGCTGCAGCCTCGTCGGTAAGTCAGAGTATATCCAACCAACAAAACATGAAAAAACAAGAAATGTGCAATCTTAAGACGGGAGAATCTCATAACTCTACAACGTGCTGACATCCATGTAGCCAATAAATTTGTCTCTTGGAACTCCATTTTCTTGTCTCGTCGCAAATAATTCTTCGTTACTAATAGCACTGTACTATTGTATATTGAATATAATTTACTCTCTATAATCAAATTTCTTTATCCGCTTCTATACTTATGCGTACTAAACTGCTAGCACCTAGTATTATTATACAGGTGTATTTTTCATGAGTTTCTTTATAGAGAAAACATTTTATAGAACGAGTCTTTACAGAATGTATTTTTCTTAAATGGAATAATCAATATCTCATGTAGTACTAAAATAAAATATAAGAGAATATAAGTGAAAAAAGTTTTATTCGTATATAAAAAGGCTTCATATTTGCTCAACGCATATTTCTAAGATTAATATAAAGTCGTTTTAAAGTATTTGTATTATTTACTTGTCTATTATTTTATTTTTTTTTAGAGCAAAATGTTGTATGTTATTACAATATAATTTTATTTCAACTACAGTCTAGCAGTCTAGTACTTGTATATAGAAGATCAGTAAATTACCATTCGTATTGTTTTTACACACTGTCTAGGATTGGTAAATGATTATTATTTTGATCAAAGAAATTTGACGCTGACATACTTTATAATATACTTTTAGATAGATTATTGATAGGATCGAGACTTTCTGAATCCTACACACAATGAAATGATTTTGTCATCACAATGGCGACTGTTCAGTTGTTGTCTTTATTTTGTGTAAACAGCTTCTGTCAGCGTCTCGATCAGACATGTAGTACCTAGGTGCGCGCTCCTCCATTCTCCGGTACCACCACACTGACTGACCAAGTCAACTTCACACCGTGAGTAAACTCCACAACCATGAGCCAACACAACCATTCGGTTCTTGTAGTTTTGTTAGTGAACTGCCCATCTGAAATACCTATGACCACTGATATTTCATGTTTCAACAGTCTGTTTTCTCCTCATACGTGCATCTATTTTTATGCACTCAGTTACTCTATCCTTATTAGTTTAAAAGAGTATGGGTTATTGTATGGAGGAGCGATTATGAAACTTTCAGAAGCCACAGTCGGATAAGTAAAGATATGTTTTTCAGTATCATTTTTATGAAACGAGTATGTTATTATTTTTATTCATCCCTTAGTTTTTAATAATACTTTTCACGAATGGATTAGAGAAAAAATATTCGCTGAAATATTGTTTAGCCGAAGTCTACATTGCATCGGACTCCAAACAGTAACCCATTACTGTTATTATTATATCGAATAAGGATGAACCATATTAATTTATTTCTAAGACGTTACGTTGATAATACGGGACGATAAGGGTGGGCAAACTATTGTGCATTTGATATCCAACAGTTTGCTGCATCAGCTGCATAGCCAGAAGAAAACAATGTTGACAGACGTGTGACAGTTTCTTGGCAAAAGTGAATGATGTTTTGGTGGGAATCCCTTCTTCGTGATGACTCCGCTTCTGATTGGTATAATACTTTCTAATAATTATTGAATATTGACAAGAAATCTAAATATTCACCCCTTTTCGACTCTTAGACTTACATAGCTTTAGACACTATTGATTTACAGGCACATTTGCAATGTTGTAAGTACATTGGGTGGCCTCTACGATGCATCTGTTAGTATTAAGGTATTTTTAGTTTAAGTAGAGCTTAAGAAATTTCTTATGCTTGTTTCCAAAATTTATACCTGCACTTAGGTAATTGATATGTAAACAAGATTTCGTGTAAGATGCTGCTGACCGAGCATGCTCCAGTGGAGTGAGTATACCTCATTGAGATGAACAGAATTATGATATTTGACATGTGATTAATTTTTGTGCAACTAGTAATCGTTAAATACTGCAATATCGGTGGCATTAAGTATTAAAACTGTTCATAGAAAATTTAAACAGCAACTTTTATATAATAAGTTTTTGACGAGAATTGAAAGAAAAAAAAACAAAAAGAAAACTTTTTTTTGTAAGACATTTAAGTTCTGAGCAATAAGAGTTCGTCACCTTACGGGGGTACAGCACAAAACAATATATATATATGTTCCATGTTTCAGTATTGATCAACAAAAAAAAACTGTATAGTATTTTTCAAACAATGTGTATTACCGATGCGAATATTCAATATGAAATATTTCATATCTTATTAATGTGTACGTATATATACATATCTGTATATTATGAGGATATTTGTTTTGACTTTATATAAAAAAAAGGATAATGCACTGTATAGTGTAAATGGTATATTATCCCTACTTTTTACATACATTAACTAACTTTACACTTACAGTAACCATTTTCTCAACCCTTTTATTTTCATAACTCAGGTGAATACGATTGCTAGTTTTTGCGTTTTATTATCACAGCCTGATACGCCTTGCTTCGACTATTCGATCTCACCTGTTTCTCCGATTTTGTGTTTTATAGAAGCAGGAGGAGGAGAAGGCCCAAGTGAAACGGAAGAAAGAAGCAGTGGAGAAAGAGGAACGGGAGAAGCGTGAAAAGGAGCGGCGAGACAGGCGGGACGGAAGCAATACTAAAGACGACCAAGATGGTGATCCCGGTAGTCCAACGTCTCACAAGGGTCGTAGTAGTAGTACAGGAAGTAGTAGAAGGGATAAAAGACGATCGAAGTCCAGGTACCGATACTGTACTGTATATTCATACAAGTTGTTTGATAAAACATGTAAATCATTATATACAATACTTTTGTTTGCCAAGGTCCAAAGAACGAGACAGGGATCGTCAAAGAAACGACAGAGATCGTGATCGAGACAGAGATCGGGACCGAGATCGAGAAAGGGAACGCGAAAGAGATCGTGATCGTGAAAGGGAGCGTGAACGTGAACGCGAGAGAGACAGAGAACGGGAAAGAGAAAGAGAACGGGAACGAGACAGGGAACGTGAAAGAGAACGTGAAAGGGAAGAGGCAAGGAAAACCGAAAGAGAAATTATGCGTGAAAGGGAGGAGGAGGAAGAAGCCAAAGAAAGGAAGAAAAATGATAGAAGAGCACGGGAGAAGGAGGCAGCCTATCAAGAACGTTTGAGAGCATGGGAGACACGAGAACGCCGTAAACAAAAGGAATATGAAAAGGAAGCGGAAAAACGTCGAGCGAAACGAGAAGCACGGGAGAGGGAGGCGAAACGGTTGAAAGAATTCCTTGAGGATTACGACGACGATAGGGACGACGCTAAATACTACAAAGGCAAAGAGCTGTCGCGTCGTTTGGAAGAAAGAGCCCTTGAAGCGGAAGCCGATTCGCGGGATCGTTGTGCTGAGCGTCAGGAGCTTCAACGTCTACGCGATAAACTTTATGCCGATGCTTCTCATCCGGATCCAGCGGCAGAATTTGAAAGGGTAAAGTATATTTAATCGCTACCATACAAAGCGTGCCCATAAAATCCCCATCTGTTCTATAGAAATTGTCGAGAAGAGATCAAAACTCCAAGAGGATGTTAAAGGAATATGTTCATATACAATTCAAACAATTTTGTTGACTAATCCCACTAAAAAATTTTTATTTTTCTGCGTGGATCTTCATAAAATCTCACGTGTGTTGCTGAGGAATTGAAAATTTATACAAGTGTTTATACATCGCTTCGTACAAGCAGTACTTGGCAGATAAACGGATACCCTGTACATATTGTTGACGCGGTGATTGCGGATTGTTAATCAAAATGTGTTTCAAGGCGTACCATGTATTTTTTATGATACTTCAAGTTCGTACGGTGTCACGAAATTCTGATTAAAAACTCAAATTACCTAATAATTATATGTATAATCATTTTTATTCGACGATGAATGATGTATCGTCTGCATACAATAATAATGTAAGACTAACAGTAAACATTAGTTGGAATTGTCTATAGACAAAAAGAAAAATTATAAAAATTTATTATGGAATATGATGTACGAATGCTTATTTTGTTTCAGTTAAAAGCTGAAAGGGAGGAACAGTACAAGCCTAAACCAGTAATTACAATAATTGACGAAGAAGACGAGAAAGTAGTGAAAAAGGAAAAGGAAGTTATGCCACCCATAGAAACTGAGCCTATAGAGAGTGACAGTGACGAGTGTGTGCAATTTGATGATGCATCCCAGTCGGAAGCACCATCGAGAACACCACCGCGACATCATCATCATCATCGAAGGCATCATCGTCATCATCAGAATCATCATCACGAGGGCGAAGAAAATGAAGAAGTTGTAGAGACGGATAGAGATAGCGTAAAGGGCACAAGATCGTCACCTTCTCATCAAGCAGCAACACCATCAACTCAGTCCATTCCACCTACGATAGATGAAGATTCTCGTATGTCTCTTGTTAGTGAACCAGAGAAAACGAGCAGTAGTGAGTAAAGAAACAACGGTTTCTTTTACTGGTGTAATAACGCATTTTTCACTCGTATATTATATCTGTCTAATTTTAGGCAACTTTGTACCGTTTGCTATGGGAAGTGGTGGTAATCGTGGCAGTGATCACGGTGTTGGTAACAAAACTCCAGCTAGTCCGAGCACGGTTGTCACTGCGAACTCACAACAACCGAATCAAACAAGAAAGAAAGGTCGAATCGACGTCAAGGACGTATTTAATAATGACGACGACGACGACGGTGCTAATAACGCGAAGAAACGGAAACTAGTTCCTTTAGGTACATTTCGTTTGGACGTTGATCAGAGATATCAATCTATTTTTCGTTGAAGTAAAATACAAATGTAAGGTTCATTCTATTTCAGATTACGGTGAAGACAAAAAGAAAAAATCGACCGAGGAAGCAAGTAAACCTGGAAAAGAAGAAAGTACAAAGAGTCAAGAAGAGAAAAGAAAGCACATTAAGTCCCTTATTGATAAGATTCCTACAGACAAAAACGCTTTATTCGGATACCAACTTGATTGGGCCGTAATAGATAATGTAAGTTACATTTTTAGTGCATTTCGGGATAGGACTTATGTGTTACATGTGTTCATTACATGTATATTTCTAATGACTTGTTTATTTGTTCAGACGTTAATGGAAAAGAGGATAAGGCCATGGATTAATAAGAAGATTATCGAATATATTGGAGAACCTGAACCTACGCTGGTGGATTTTATCTGTAGTAAAGTAATGGCCGGCAGTTCACCTCAGGGTATACTTGACGATGTACAGATGGTACTTAATTTTTATATTTAAAATTGGGCAGTTTAACATAATATATTTCTAGTCCTTTAATGTGGTAATGTACATATTTTAGGTATTGGACGAAGAAGCAGAAGTGTTTGTAGTCAAGATGTGGAGGTTATTAATTTACGAAGTGGAAGCGAAAAAAATGGGCTTAGTTAAATAAATCGAACATCAATTGAAGTACTAATCGATATAAAAATTTATACTACACATGAAATTTCTTTGGTTAAGATGTATTATTTAGGTTATATACCAATATACAATTACCTATGTATCATTTGTAGGATTCTTCGCTAGACGAAAGACACGATGTTGCTCGATTGATAGGTAACCTAAACGTGTAGCAATTAAAATGTTAAATACAAATTGTAATTACGATTTATAATATTTGAGTTGTGGTTTTCTAAATTTATTTATCCATAATTTTGCAGGATGTTCTCTTTTGTTTCGATTGCGTCGACCTAATACTTTATGACGCTTTTATAGATACACATGTATATTTATAATTGTAAACCAATTTTAACAAGAAACTTTTATAAATAGTTTCAACCTTTTTAGATAAGATTTTATATACTCCTGAACGTACTATTATAATTTCATTCAAAGTATATTTTGTAAATATATACATTTTATCATAAATCATGAGACATTTGTTACAGTAAAAGCTACTCATCAAAGTATTTGTAATTTTTTAATTTGAAATTTTTTTGTTGTGCATTGTGCTAAATAAATTGGTTTCATAATAAATATGTTAATTGTTACTATAAGTGTGTCCACTTGTCATATCTGACAAGATGATAATAATTTAATCATATCAGATTTTCTGTAATGCAATACAAGGACAATTGTTTCTTTCATTCGTTTCAATTCATTTTATGCAGGCTAATTAACAGAGAAGAACATTGATGCCATACATATAATCATAATTCTTATTCAACAGTGTTCAGCGGACAATTCACCAGTTTATATCAAACCTTCACATGGCTTTTGTATGTCTTATTTTCCTTTATTTCAAGGCGATACTGAACATAATAAATAGGCTGGGGATCTGTGTTTCACGTATACGTATTTAAGTATATACACGTATGCGTGTTTACACGTGCCTAACGTTACATGTGTCCCGTCTACATATGTTTCTTCAATGTGGGTTCGAAACCCTGACCTCTAAATAAATAGAGAAAATTAGGTGACTTTCTTTTATACAAATATACAATTATTAGTTTTTCCTTTGATGAAATTGTACATGTGAAGAATGTGTAATAATTGTGTTAGCTCTTTCTTTGGCTTATAATCACTGTGTTGATCTTTTGGAATCTTTAGGTATTACTTATCAATATTACTTTAAATTACTAAATATTAGTAAATATGCGACCACAATAAAAAATTACGAATACATTCGGTATAATTACACAAGAGTTGATTTAAGTGAAACTAAATTTGTTTGTAGTTCTTTATTACAGAGTATGCCAAGAACAGAAGAATTGATATGTTAACAGAAGAATTAATATGATACAAATATAGTTAAGCTTCGATCAGTAAACCGTATTTTAGACCGATATGAGTTAAGTTCTGTGTGGCTGAGACACGCAACACAGCAACGGCAACGGCTGTAATTGCAACTGCACCTTCTAGATAAAGACCGTACAGTATCCGTACGTAACCCATTATGGTTGATAGACCTCCGGCAGTTGTAAAATCTAGAGGAAATAGAACACTCGCTGCAAATGGCCTGGATCTGGCTACTCCGAAGCCCAGAATTCCCAACAGGTAATAAGTGGCTAGAATGTGAAATAATTATAATTAGAACACAAATACATACGTGTTAGATGAAATTCGACTTATTTTTATATGTAGAATCACATCCTTTCCGAACAGGGATTTGGGATTTTATCGCTATTCACGGATTACTTGAACGCAACCGAAATTGTACAAATTTACCAAAGAGGTTTATTAATGTCAACTGAGAAATTGTTTTGAAGGAAAGATAAAAAATCAAATTAGTGGGAAGATGTCAGACAATTATAAAGAATTAACGGAGATTGGACATGATTGCGTCGTAGAGGAAGGGCCAGGCTACCTGTATTCACCGGAATTTTTATGATAGCTGCATCCAGGTACAAATGTTCCCAGTCACGTATACATATGTATATGTATATAGCAGGTAGACAAGACATAACGAATTGACGTATCTAATCCCCCCGAGGACCAACCAAAAAAATATCTGAGCCTGGGTGAGGGTCATTCTAAGGGTACCGATTTTTATAGTGGTACACCGATTGAAACCTTTCAGTCGGGGAAGATTTTCCATGCGGTTCGTATCGTGTCGTGAAGAATTCTTCTGCGATCACGGAATCGACTTTACTCGAGCATGAGTTCGTTCAACGTTCAACAAACTGTGTTGTGATAGCGGGAAACGTTACGCCTAGATCAGTGATGTGTATTCTCTCGAAATAATTATTTCTACACCATTTATTGAAGTTTTTTATGGCGCAAGTGGAGTTACGTGTATGCATATATAAAGAAACACGTGTAAATGTGTTGTCCAAAAAAAATATTCTGTGTAAAATAGTAATTACCTACACAAACGAAGGGTACCACTTTCACCCATTTTGGTACCGGTGCCAAATATTTCCTCTCCTCTTCGTTGTAGTCAGTGTGTATTCTGGATATAGCATATCTCTGCAACCGTAAAGCCAGTATCAGACCAAAATTCATGACTAGAAGAAAATGCGCAGGTATACCGATCGCTGCGAAAATAACAGTTATTATCCGGCCGGCTGTGGTGCGTGGAACCGGGGCACCGAAACCTGTAAATTGAACGGACGTAATTAAATGATGAAATCATATTACGAAACATTTCAGGATTGGTTTGTGGACAAGCTGAAGATACGACTTGGTAGATGGAGGAAATATTTTTGTACCTTCAGATTACCTCGAGTATACTCAATTTTAGGGTGTACCACTAACAATGAAACTTCGGTTCCCCGACAATTCGGATTTCTTTTAAACTCCGCAGATTTATGAGGGACCTCGATAGAAACATCGGTCAATTTTTCATTTCTGCTGATATTCGGTTCGTCAGGGTGAAATCATCCTTTAAATGTCAATGTGTGTTTTTTTATTTTTGTGTTCCTATATTTTGAAAACCGTGTATAGTAGATACCAAAAAACTGTTCAAGTGTAAAATTTTATGGTTTTTTGTGCTCTATAAAGCTGAATAATGAAATTATTAAAAGTTTGTTTATTTATATATTTTATTTTTTAGAAAACAAATATTTAACAATTTTATTACACTTTTATAGAGAATAAGAAGCTATTAAATTTGTATTATTACAGTTTATTGATATATACTATAGGATAGATTTTAAGATATACTTACAGGAAAATAGGAAAACAATACATTAACATTTAAGGGGTAGTTTCACCCTGAAGAACCGAATATCAGAAAAAAACAAAACATTACCCGATCCCGATGCTTCCGCTGAAGGTCCTCTAGAAACCTGCGGAGTTTCAAAGAAATCGGAATTTCCGAGGTAGCGAAGTTTAATCAATCGTCTCACTTAAAGATTGCATTGTAATTTATACTAAATTGTCGAATTTTTGTTTCAGATACTCCTACACTGCACAATCATGTACACCATTGATATATTTAGCTTTTCCACGATTTTACAATTGATTTTATTTCTTAATAATAATACTAAAAATATAGTACCAACCCACAAGTTAATATCATTTTTACTTTTTGCACAAAACGTGTTTGAAAAAACATCACAGTAGTCTCACCCCTTAAATTGTAAATTACGTTTACAATCTGTGTGTATATCACACTGCACAGTAAAGTCAGCAAACTAATGAAAATATCATATTACATTGGTGTTTGCAGCATGTGCCTAGTTGGCAAAAATATTGTACAAGTACAGTAAATGTTCGATCAGTGTTTGGAGGCTCCCCTACACTGAACATTAAATATTTCATAAACTAAACCTGATTAAAAAGTCAGCGTATCCTGATTAAAAGTCAGTGTCAAGAAGCCTCCGAACACTCATCGACGATTTGCTCTACACGCCAGCCGTGGTTTGGCCACCGTGTCTCTATAATATCAACTTTCATTTTTTCAACTTAAATGTCTTCAGTAAACTCCAGCGACAAGTGGTCACATTTGTTCGATTCGGTGGTTTTTTTTTTTTTGCGGGCTCGAAAGTAAGTTCAATAATACCTAGTGTAGTGAGAAGCGAGATAGAGAAGAGTATACAGCCGGGAAATGTCCAAAGTTGTCCACTGTTTCCATTCTCGCCGTATCCAGCGCTAACGGCCATCAGTAGGACTTCTTCGTGTTTCGCTACGTATTCATGTACCTTGTCAGCCCACAGGGGCTCGACGTCCTCCTCCTTCTCGGTTCGTATTTGTCTCAGTTCCGTTGCCAAACCGACAGCAAGACTTTTCTGCATGTGTTTCAGCGTGACGACTTGCTCACGCTCGCGTGGCCCCTCGATCGCGCAGAACACAACCGCGCCGACGATCGCCCAAATGGTGAGCAACCACGTCAATCCTGCGATTCATACGACACGTTTAGCAAAAGGTTCCCTCCAGTGAAAGATTTAACTGCCAGTGAACTAAATATTGACAACGTTGTTCGAATGTTTTAACGTTGTTTTTGAGGGGTTTAGGCTACTTTGAGGCCTTACGACAGGTGAAAAACAACATCGGTCACTTCACAGTGTAAAGGACATGTTAACTTACTTTTTCTTTTCTTGCCTGACGTCATAGCTTAGAATTACCCAGTTAGAGGTATATTCTAGTTAATTAATTAATTTATTTAATTTATTTATTTATTCGCGTATTTTAATATTTCGATGGCAATAGTTATTAAAGATACGGACCGCCGGTACTACCAGGCGAATTGTAATATAGTTTCTACATTAGATTATTTCTGACCCTGGGATACCCCAGACCTTTTTCTGTCCCTGCTGGGTGGGATTAGAATACACCGGCAGTCTTCCCTGCTTGTCGCAAGAGGCGACTGAAAGGGACAGCGCGGGACGTCTTTCCACCCTCGGGAAGGGTGGAACGGCGTTACTAAACCGGGAGTGCAAATCTGTGACCGGTCATCCTCCCTGAAGTCATGTTTACACAGTTTCGGGGAGGATGCTGTGGGTTAGGTTGGAGGGATTAAAAAAAAAGAAAGAAAACTGGAAAATCTATTAAAAGGTATTTATTGTACATATCTTCAGATAGGTGGAAGAATTTTTTTTAGAACAAAATTACGACACTGGTGTTAATCAACTTGTAGGATAACTTGAAAACGGTTTGATCTAGAACAAAAAGCGAAATCTTTTTATTTTCTACGTGACATTTACTGAAGAAATATCTAGGGATTTTTTAGAAATCTGATATTTGACAAAAAGGTATCGTTTTCAACCAAAAAATTGTTGTATAAAAATATCCATAGCAACGAATGTTTTTAATATATCGCAAAATATTATTTATTACATGTATTTCTTTAGTAAATGTTACGCAGCAATGACAATTTTTCACTTTTTGTTCTAGGTAAAATCGTTTTCAAGTTATCCTGCATGTCGATTAGGCGCACAGTTAAAATCAGCCAACGTGAATTAGCCTCAGGCTGAGGCCCTTAGCGTCGTCATTTTGTTCTAAACAAAATTCTTCCGTGTACCTGAAAATACGTACAATGAATGTGTTCTAATAGATTTTCCATTTCCTTCCTCATTTTCGCAAAAAAGATCACTAAAAATTAGCTTTCATTTTTGGGCTAGGTGCTTACCGAATAACGAAAGCGACAGTCTTCCTAAAAATCTGATATGCTTCCATATTTTCAAAGATTTTTTCGCATCGGCGGAATTTACGTTGTCATCCTCGACGATATCTTTGACAGACGGCAACAGCCTCAGTCGTAATGGTAGACCGATTATAGTTTGGACAGCTATTGATTTCACAGATTTTTTTATCTCCACCACCGGTTTATGTTCGGGAGAAAGTTCTTCCGAAACTGTTGTAGGCGTGTCTACAAGCAATAAATTAAAATAGCTAGTCATAAAATATTCGGAATTTCATACTAATGTATTCTCTTGTTGCGTTACAGTGTTTGCTCTTCGAGGAAATTGATTAATTTATTTTTGTTTATAAAAAACTTGTAACGAAGTTTTAATAAAAATTGAGAAGAAATTTCGAGAATAAGAATTCCGTGGATTTTTCATATTATTCTTTCTAATATAATTATACTGTGGAGATAATTATATTAGAAAGAACATTATGAAGAATCCACGGAATTCTTATTCTCGAAATTTCTTCTCAATTTTTATGAAAACATCGTTAGAAATTCTTTCTGTGTTGCGAATGCCAATAAGTGTTTCAATAATATTTTTATCATTGTACCTTTCTTGAAATTCGAATGCACTATTTCGAAAGAATCGGATTCGAAATGTTAATTCTATATTTCATTCCGTAGTTCATTCTTCCATTTAGCATCGCTTCATAGTAAGTTCATTTTTTTGAACTCGTTATCTATAGCGTGATATGTACTACGTGCAATTTTCCACTATGTATAATTGTCATTAGCGATAAAAGGAGATAACTATTTTTTACTTCTGACAAATTCTCTTTAACCGAGAACGTTGCTCTCTCAATCTGTGTGTGTGTGTGTGTTTTATGTCTGTTTCATTTCCTTAGTCGTTATAACAGAGTTATTGATTGCCTTGAGCATACTACACCGGATTGATTATTATTTTATGCATGTACTGGTATATTTCAAAACATACAGTCGTCGTTTCAATTACAATAACCGAATAGACTTCCTTATGCAAAATTCAAAATTCAAATCCATAAATTATTTGCCAGTTTGGACCATTTTTCCGATCAAATTAAATTAAGCAAGAATACTACACGCGCAGAAAATTTCATATTTACAGGAACCCGTGACGATAAAAACCTCTCGGAAAGGACAATACCTTCTTATTAAAAAATAAACTCGAAGATTTTCTTTCCAAAGGTTTTCACATTTCTACATTTAACACTAGAACTACCACAGCAGTCGGGGAATGATTGGTTAGTACATTATTATAACGATGATTCAAATGTTTGCAACGATGCAGTTTCTCAGATATTTCGGATCCTCCATTGCAATATGAAAATAAAGAAAGTAGTTAATTTATAAATTTGAATAATTTCTATAGAATTCGGTGGAAATAAATGTACATTTATCACCGGTAGTTTTAGTGTTGAATCGTAATCATTAAATGTCACGAAATTTAGAATAAAATGTTAACAATGATCACCTTATTGGAAACCTTTTGTGAACCCAATATTATGAATCCAACATATGGATTTCCGGTTCGTTCCATCTCCGTTACGATAAACTCTAAAGAATTTTTAATGATCCGTCTCTTCTTTCCCTGTTCTTGAAAGAGAAAAATCTGGTCTACACGACCGCAAACAAATGAAAGTAGAAAATTGTCTATATGTCGGTGCCAATATACGAGAATTTACGGAAGCTCAAAAGTTTTGTAACTACGTGAGTTAACGGTAGAACTACCAAAGCGATCAAAATTACTGGTTAGTACACTTTTAATAACGATAATGAAAGTGTTATAACCAGACTACGGATTTTATGCAATTTATCTGAAGCATAGAAATAATTTTTCGGAAATATGTTATGTATACAGTTCTTTGTACGTGTCTTTTTTATTAAGTGACATAAATAAAGGGACACCGGCAGTAATTGGGACATTTACCCTATGTATGTGTTCGTGCTGAAAATAAGTAGAAACGGTTTGCAATAAGCAGACGCGTCAACCAAATCCTATTCAGTTTGCACGCGTATCATCCGGCAAACATTTAAATTCGATTATCTTGAAAACAATGCACCGTACAAAAAAAAATGTTATTCCACATTTTCGACTTATTTTTCCATGTAGCAATCACTTCTTATGCGTGCTATATACCACCATTTCTTAAGCAGCCTATATTATACATTTATCGTCGGTGGTTATTATACAGGGTGTACCACGAAACACAATCAGCTTAATTATTCTACTGCCTAGCTGTTCGATCGAAAAATTTTTTGGATGCCTAACCATATATACAGACGTCAATAAATACAACTAAACAGTCATTTCTTAACCCTTTATGCGAGTGTATTGCAACTGATGCGGACACCATTTCAAACATCGTTTCAATTAAGGTAAATGATATTTCCCTAATATTCCTCTGGTCTAGAAGAAGAACCAACATTGGTTATAATGCTTGCCAAATTCGTCTCAGTATCCAAAAAATGGGCCTAAAAAAATGACAGATTTATCTATAAAAAAAACTGATGGTGATCTTGAAATCTGGAAAAAAGGAGTTGACAAAAAATTTGGTACAATCATCTTAAAACTATCCTTCAATCATGTTATACCCAACAGAATGTTCGATCGAAAAGAGCTAGCAATAAGATAATCTGATCACTAGACTGCGGATTTTATGCATTTAGAGCCTATAGAGCTTTGTGAAATACAATAAAGAACAAAACTTTCATCGTATCCAACGAGCTTTCTATCTTATTCTGAACCCAATAAGATGCTTAAGAGGGAAAATAAAATTCTACAATTGCTTTTGTCTTTATAAATTACTTTAGAAACATTTATTTTGCATAAAAATCTGCAGTCTACTACAGATCACCTTTCGTGGGCCGCCACCCAGTAGGTGCGAATGGAAATCGATGAACATACTCGTACCGATCGCGCACACCACATCGTCATCGTCCTCGTCGTTTCGGTCCCGTTCCGTCATCGTTATACGGAACTCGGTGACCCGTTGCCGAAACTGTTCATTGGGCCTCGGGTGCACCAGATTTCTGCGCGCCGATCGTCGTATCCTGTGGGCCCTGGACGTGGCTCGGCTTTTCGGCGCATTTCGTTCACGTGGACACGCGACCGTGGCCGACGGAACACGTGCAGGCCTCGCGACATCTACTGTATCACTAAGAGACGACGGTGCACCCTCGAGGGTTGGCGGCGCTGGAAAAAGGGGCACGTCCATCGACGACGGTCAAGGTGACTGTGACTATAAATCACAATGCAATCACGTCCGGTAATTTTCCCCAATACATGAATTCTTCCCCGTTATAGTGCCTCTCCGAGCTATAGTGGACTTTAGGTATAGCTGCTTCAAAGATATAGCGTTAACCATAAAGTGGCCGACTCTTAAACCAGTAGTACTCGATCATCGGGGGCCCATTGTGTCCCACGCACTTAGGGCTGTACGCTACTTTCAGCTATGGGGTTCCAAGGAATAAACAAAAAAGATTGGAATATTTTACACAAATTAACGGTTTCGTAAGCTTCCTTCCGGAATAAAAGAGCCAGAAGTATTTTATTAACGTCGTGCTCGAGGGTATCGAATGACAAGATTGGGTTACTAAAACACACAAACTTTAGGGTTGGTCAGGTTTATGGCTAACGCTGTATTTTTGAAGCAGATATATCACCCTCTCAGTGGTCGTTTCTTCAAAAACGTTGACCGTCTCTGGACGCTAAACTTGCCACCCAAACTCTTAAGGTGGCTCACGTAAAATTTTAATAATTATAGATTAAATGAAAATTTAACAGAACATATTCTTAAAAGCTTCAATTTTTGATTGCTACCAAAAAATCGCAAGGTCCACGGTAAATTATTGAAAAAGAAACGTCATAAGAATGTCTTTTTTTAACACAAGCCTTGTGGAACTGCAGTTGATACTGAGAAGTTAATCGTTTTTTATTTAATTACAGAAAATGACATTTTCATAAAGAATTAGGTGGATATAGATGTTTTTACGGGGATTATGATAAAATAAAACTAAAAATTAAGATGAAAGTACCCAAACTTAGGTTTCAATGCGTTTGGTAGCACATCTTTTACGCATGTCTGCTATGAGTATTTATATATATTATACGCATAAATATTTATACCTTTTATGGATAAGCAATTGTATAGTTCGAAAATGGTATCAGAAGAAAAATGGCGACTTCGGAGTACGCGATGTAAAGTTTTGCTTAATCAGTGGCGTGCAAGGCCTCGTGTTATGAGGGAGGACTGCAAAAATAGGTTTCAATTAAAAATTATATATTGTCCCCCGTAATCAATGGTAATCGAAACGGTTTAATCTTCAATGGATATCAATTTTCTTCGAACGTTTCAAGCATTGTTCGTATATAGATCGTGAAAGCTTAGGGCTTAGAGAACAATAATTATATGTTTTCGACAGAATCGGAAGAACGGTTTAATGATGGGTAAAAGTACAGATAAAAATTTGATTATTACAATACGCAATGAAATGAAAATCCTAATCGTGGTTTAATAAATTCTTTATCTTATTCTTTAAGTACACAAAGTGCGGTAAAAAGAGCTTAAAATGACAGAGTTTATATAAACATTCATAGTCTGGTTAGTAATAAACAGTTACCTATTTTCAGTTTGGATATCTAAGGAGAAAGGTATGACAATACTTCATTTTATTATTACTAACAAATAGATTGCAGATGTCTATGCAAATATCGATCTTTAAAGGTTCATTTACGGATACCAAAAACAAAGAAAAATTTGTTTACTGTATTAAAGATTCTATCAGGTCCCAAAGTAAATAAACACCATATTGAAGTTTATTAACCCTTAATTACAGACCACTTGTCTAAAAATTTGAATTTCTCTGTCACTATAGCAACCTAGCGGAGAATTTCAGAACCTCTAACGTTTGAATACCTTCAATTGACAGTAAAAGGCACACTATTTCGAAAATGATAATGAAAAATACCATTCAGTTGGTTATTAAAACTGTTATACAGTAGTCGTTCTCAGATTATTCGTCCCTTAGACGAGTCGTATGCAGTTAAGGGTTAATATTTATAATAATTTGCACTGTAAATGCGTAAAATCCGTCTACCGATAAACATAATGCGAAAGGTGAAAAGCAACTGAACTGTGATGTGACTTTCAAAAATATTTCTTCTCTGAAAAACATACCTCTCTATTGATATTTCATCTCTGACGAATGTAGTTACAATGATAGTAAACCGTTGATATCCAGATAATATTCCACATGGTATACACTCAGTAATTTCATATCATATTCACAGTACTTATGGTTGCTAAAAGTTTAAATATTCAATTTGATCATAGTCTTCGTTCAATCACTAACGACGTTTTGTATCACAATTTGTTATTTTCTTTGTTCTCCTGGTTGTTCCATTGTTGATGTACATATGCAGGTACACTTTTTATTACGTTACATTATTTCGTACTAAACGCCCACCGTAAGCTGAAATATGTATTTTTATGTACAGAATTGATCCTGTAGAAGTGTCCTGGACTTTTGCAACTTTCTCGACATTCTGAGTAAAGTCATATCGTGTAACAAACTCACGTGCCCGAGTTAATATTACTGGAACTTGTAATTTTTAATTTCCGTAAGTCCACGCAATTATTTGCAGTTACGTAAGTTTGTTTAACAGACAAATCTATATTGCCTTCTATCGCCCGGATTGTAAACGTTAATGTGAATATTTATGTCTTTTCGGAAATAAGCTCGAAAAATAGGTATATACATGAGAAGTAATTGCAAATTGTTGAATGAATAACTGTACATGAATGAGTACGCTAATATTTGCATGTCTATAGGCTCCATTAGCGCGTATCGTTACTAATTTCAATATTGTCCGTTAAAACTCTCTGCATTAATAATGAGATATTGAAAACCATTCATTCGTGTGTCTTAATGCTTACTATTATGCCTTTAAAAGTTTTAAAATATTCAAAAATACATTATGTTTTGTGATCGTATTTGTTGAAATTTTCTTTATGAAATGAATTTTTACGATTTCCATGAACACAATCAACATTTAACAGTGATACTGTGGGCGTTTACTTCGATACAAACGAGAAACATGTCACTGATTTATTTCGGGACTGCGTTACGCTGTGCCAACTGTGAAACGTGGTGTAATTAGTCAATCGTGTGCTATCGACAAATGAATACAATGGGTATACGCTTAACATAAAGGGGTCAGGCTCATGGTAATGTGTACGATATCCTTTGTATGCATTGAAGTAAAAGAACCGCCTGTTCCTCATTCATAAATACTGGATTCAGTCGGAAACAACTTTTCATACAGACAGGGAAAATTTCGTGAATGATAGTTAAAGTTTAGTAAGAACAAAAATTCGTAAGTTTAATGATAACTTTTTGAACTTAACGATGATCAGAAATATGTAGTAAAAACAATTAACTGTCAATCATTTTCTATGGGAAAACTCGGAGAACAAAAGAGAGTTATCGTTTAATTTATAAAACCTTGACATATTATAATCCATCAGCATCAAATTGCAGTAATAATTTTGAGGCGCGTGGCAGGTTAAACACACGTTTTCATACGGAGCTGAAAAGCCAATCTAACTTCTGCTCTATGCTTGAAGGATACCCATCAATCGAATTCAAGAACTTCGAATGTAGGTCAAACGCCGACAGTTTCATATTTCCAACGATCATTCAACGATTTTCCAGTTAACAAAATAAAACGCGTCCAATTTCGATTCACCAACGTTTGCATCGTCACTACTTGTTCTACGTTTATTTTATTAATATTTTTACTACACCACGTGTTAACATCCTTCAAATTGAATAACAACGGAAGCTTAAGCAAACAAACGTGTAAAGAAAACTTAACTCGTGAATGAAACACAAGAACAGGAAAATTTCAATTAGTTGAAAATCATGAGTCACGAAAACGTTGCCTAGAATTCCAAACGCGAAATTCCTACAGCAACAAACGTGGACGATTGTTTTCCTGGAACTGTTGATGTATAATCTACATTTTACACTAGAATTGCCAGTTTGTTAAACTAAATTGTACAGTATTTATATCGATATGTATAATATATAATACAATATAATAGACTACAGTACAATGTACAATAAATTATAAATCAACATAAATTCCGACAAAATCACCATTACGATTTCACTGATTGTAAAATAAGAAACTTCCAATCCGTCGTGTCGACGTTTCTGGTTGTTCCAGCGTTAAGAAAACAAGCAGCGTCTCCGTGGTCTATTTAAATCTAGAATCGTTGAGGGAACACGAGGAACCATACTTTTTCGAGACTATGTACTGGGTAATATCTCTGAAAAAAAACGAACACGACTACCAAGTTATGAAACCAAGAAACAGATAACGTCGTTGCTCAGAGGTCACGAATAATATCCCGCATGAAACGAAAAAGATCGTTATCCGTTCACCATTTCCCCCCGTCTCTACGAGCACAACACGCTTGTACGTACGATCGTCGAACTGAACATTGTATTATACATTCGATGTACAACAGTACTGGACAAATGTCTTCGGACAAAAACCGTTTCCTGTATTATTTGAATTAAGGATACTATTGACGTTTCATTAAATAATCAGCGCCTGTCTTGTGTAATTGTTGTTTTCTTAGGTGGACCACACTCGATATTATATTTTCTAAATGTCCTCTTCGAACAAATTGTTTATTCTGTTCAATGTACCGTCTATTTGGGGATGTCCACACATCGAGAAACTATGGATGATGGCGCTCCATTTTGAGCCGTATATGATATTTTCTTTAAAATTTTTGGTGAATTTTTACGTTGTATCATCCAAGAGTGGATGAAATAAAGATATAATATAATGTTCTCGTGAAGTTTTTGTGTCAGATTACAATATATGGTTGCGAATGAGAAACGTCCGAATACTTTTGTCTAGCTGTATACAGACGAAGCTTATTTTATATTTTATGATACATAGGTAGCTCCGTGCAACTTTTATGAAAGCTTTCGTCGGAATAATAGTAAACACTCCGGAAGACAAAACTTCGGTAATATCACCGTAACAACAAATACGACGAAAAATGTCTTTGTCCGAATTCATTTGTCCGGTACTGTAACTAGTCATGTCGTCACGAGTCGAGACAGATATCATTCCACACGACACTGTACGCAATAATAATAATAATAAAAATCTCGTTTTGCACGTCGAAACGAACGGATACTGGACTAACTGTGAAATCGTCTGTTCACGGGTTCGCGCGCCAGACGAAACGCATCGAGGTGCCGGTTCGCCGTTCTGGCTCTTCGTGCAATTTGGAAACGACTACCTGGCCTCTGTAGAATTGAATTTTAATAGATTTGGCGCGCGTTGCATGTGCCACACGGCGAAAGGTGCGATGGCGCAAACCCGCCTTACCATCGTGGTGCCCGCCACTAAAATTAGAACGCAACCTTGGAATCAATCGCGATGACTTCGAACGCCGTCGTTCGCACTCTTTATTATAAATTGAAACCTTGCACTCTGTCTTCGATTCAGAACTATGTGTTTGTGTGTATAACATCACCGGTTGTGTCTACTGCTATCGACCATGTGCCGACATGAATAATCCCCGCGTTTTCAATTGAGCCGTTATCTTTGGAAGCGATTTTACCGTCCAATTTTTTGGAGAAAAGACTGGGTTAAAGCTCGTTTTACCTACGGATAGATGGTAGGGGTGTGCGAAATTTTCGAGTGAAATAATGATCGGTCGATCGAGCCGAGTCGAGCGTTTGAATTTTCCGAGCTACTTGAAATCGACGAAGTGTTTGAAAAAAAATGCTAGCTACTTGAGAAAGTCAAACGACTCGAATATTCGAGCGCTTGTAAAATTATCTTCGATTTTTTTTCGAATCACTCGAATATATTCGAATAGCCCGGATTACTCGAATATTTATCTATTTATTATGAAATACTAATCTAACTGTAAAGAAGAAAAATGTAAGATTGTAATTTGGGAGTATAGCAGTGGAATTAAAATTGAAATTCTTCATTTGCCATTCGTTAATTAACACTGAGAATAAACACGTTTCCAGTAATTCATTTGACACTCGGGGTTTAGCAGATCCCAGTTTCTTATTGACGAAAATTCGTGGCTTAAACGTTAATGTTCTGGAAGTACGTAGTTCCTCTGTTTGTTGACATCTCGAAGCAGGAAGAATGTACGATAAGAAGTATCTAACAAATGCGCAGAAGCACTTGTGCGTCTTAACTTTTAAACATTCTATGCTGAACTTATTTTCTATGGTGTGACGGAGACCCCAAGGTTATCATTGTTCCTACAAGGTTATCATTGTTCCTGCAAGGTTATCATTCGTACGTCTATTATATTTGGAATTAAAGAAATATCTAGACTGTTGATGTTCATGTAAACTCAATTTCTCTAGGCTGCTTTTTGGACGTGATTTATATGTATATAGAATTGATTTCCTTAGAAAAAAATTGAATTGTCTTATTAATCGTTTACAACGTTCCCAATTTGTTGCCTGTTGCAGAGTGGATTGTGCTATGAGAAAAATGTAACTTATTTGCAAAATTGACTATTATTTCTTAACACTAGAACTACTAAACCCGATAAAATAACGGAATACAGAATTACTATTTTACCATTACGGAAATTATAATGGTGCTTTTGGCGGAATATATGTTTACTTGTAATTAACTACAGATTTTATTATATGGTATATTATACTGAATTGTCTTATGTATTCTGTATATTATTGTATTATAGAATTTAATTTAGTATACATTTAATGCTGGTGGTTCTAGTGTTAAAGCGTTTACCGTAATTTCTGAATAAAACATTTTGTTCAGTCTGTCACGCATAATAGGAAGAGGTATGTATGTACGTCAAAACAATGACATAAAGTCGTGTCCCATCGATTATAAAGTTCTGCCATCTTTCGAACATAGTATTCTATGTATATTGCCCCCGGGCCGATGCGTTTCATTATTCAATTCACGATTAGTTTACGTACGATGGACAGTAACCGTTACGTTGGTTTCCTTGACGTCCGTGAAAATTCCTTCGATCGAAGACAGATTAGTGCAATGGTACGCTTTCGAAGCTTGGCGAAACACAACTTTTTACATGTGTACGTCATTCACAGGGAGACTAACAGGTGTCTGGAAATTTCAATTTTCGAAATTAACCAATTCTTGTATCAGCACATTAATAACGAGTAATTGGAAAAATTGGATAGCAAAGTGTCGTTATTTTATGTATCTTTCGAAATGGCTTCACTTAATATGATAGGCTCGTTTCCGAAATGAAATAGTCACTTAAATAATTGCAAAAAATAACTTGAATGCGAACTATATTTCATTCTGAAGATTTTTATCTATCTATAAATCAACTTAAAGCGTTTAATTTAAAACAACTGTCTGTATAAATATCCATGAATTCCATAAATTTAAGGATATAATGATATGCGTCCGCGCTATGAGTACGTAATAGGCGATGTCGTATTCGTAATACGAATAACGGGTTCAACAAACTGTCAGACTAATAAAAAGAAGAATGTGATTTATAATTTCAACTTTAGTATTAAAAAATTCATCAAATCTTTCTTGTCACAAATAGATTGCAGATCCTATGCATTTCTGATAAAATGGACACGTTGCAAAAATACACTAAAATAAGGACATCGACAACGATTTAAGGGTAACATCTGCGAAACTGAAAATAAATCGATTTTTTTTAATTGCATTTTCTTCAAATTTAACTCTTCATTTTTTGCTGTTACACAGGAAAATGAAAAACTTGTATGCGTTTTGTAGTCCACCTAACCTTTATTAAAAGTGAAAAACCGTAGGTATCCGTTTTTTTATTTAGCCAAGACACAAAGCATCAAAGTTCGTACAATGGACGATACTACATAGGTCTATAAATATCAAAATTATTATAGTCTCTCTTGTCCTGTCCTAACTCTATTTTTTATTATTTCTGTATTACTGTCATCTCATTACGTTATTAAATGTCATATAACACAATCAATATTTCTTATTATATAAATAAATAAAAGTACAAGTTCACGATAACACCTTTTCTTTACCCGTCTGAAAATAGCAAAAAAGAGCTAGGATCAAATCTGACCCCACCTTACCAAGTACGACCTTAAAACCCACCTTACCATTCGAGTGTTAATATTTTTACCAGCTTTGACGCCCTGTATCTTGGCTAAATAAACAAATGGGTACCTACGATTTATCACTTTCAATAAGGGTTGGTCTAATACTTTAGCTATTTGACTTGACTATCATCGAACGAGTTAAATGAGAAACGTCGTTTCTGGTAGATATATTGAATCGTAACAATATTCAAAAAATACATTTGTTTGGCAGAAAGTTTCGATTTTTCTAGGGTACTTGTAATGAAAAAAAATCAAGTAAAAACAGTTACCTTTTTTAAATAATTCGTGATTCAATACAGTACGCCCATTCAACCAACTTTGGCACCTTGGCTAAATAAAAAAAAAACGAGACACCTACGAATTATCACTTTCAATAAGGCTGTAGGTGTACCACAAAATGCACACAAGATTTTTGCATTTTCCCTCGTAACAGAAAAAAAAAAAGAAAGAGAAACGTTTCCTTGTCAAGGAACGATCTCCGAGGAGTAAACCTACTTTCCCCGTTCGTCTCGAGATTCCCGCGAATCGATAAAAACGAAACGACAGTCGTCGTCCGTACGGGAAAGGGGCGAAAACTTCGAAATATGTAATCCGTCGGCCGAAGTTGTGCACGAAATCCTCCTGCACGCTTGCGCCGCGCATCGATCCGGTAAATTGGCCGGTGGTCTCTCGCCCCCTTCCGCAATAGAAGAAGCCTCTGCGAGAGCAGAGTGGTGTGTGGAGAGAAGAGGCGAACCAGGGGGTTCAATGTCTCCATCGTGTCCCCGCGGAATATGGAGGATCGTTTCCTTGACCACGTTGTCACGAACAAACGAGAAACGCGTGCGGTACGGACAGACGTCGAACGATGCGTTGCTCCGGTCGGAGGCTTCTGCTATGGCTGGCGGTCGTTGTTCCCATCGTTCTGCTCGTACGTCACATGGTGAATCGTGGATATCGAAACGGGATCCCAGAGATCGGTAACGACGACGACGACGACAACAACAACGACGACCACGTCGTTGTCCATACGGCCAAGAGCCAAAGGATCAGCTCGCGACCGAAGAATGCGGTAATACCACAACCGGCCATTACGACACCTGTGTTTGTCGCAGGCATGTACATGGCTGGTGAACCGCCCGGGAACAGTACGTGCCGATGGTACCACGGTCTGCCAGATAGCATTACGTATCCGTCGTCGATAGTCACCTGGAGCCCGGAAATCGGTGAGAAGAGCCCCTACAGAGTCCTACCGTTTGTATTAGTCGGAACCGAGGCGAGTGACAAGTTGCCCGAGGTGACCCTCTGCACCCACGCCACCGCGGATCATGTCTATGGGATCGTGGAGTTGGTCAGGAGATGGGAGGGACCGTTGAGTCTCGCCGTTTTTACGCCCGGCGACGACGCTGGCATCGCCGTTGCTCTCCTCGATCGGGCCTGTCGATGCGAACCCGAAATGTACAAGGTCTCCCCCATATGCACTCGCTGTCAGAACCGGGTCTCTCCGCCTAGAGAAGCATGACTGTAAAAAAAAAAAAAAAGAAAAGAAACGAGAAAAAGTCTCTCTGAGAACAGCTGTCTCCGTAAATCCGATGCTCCTGGTCTCATATGATTTGTCACTTTCTTTTGTTATTTTTTCATCATTTTTGTTGAGTTCTCACTGCACTTCACTACGGGAACACCATCGGCTGTCACCGACGCGAGAATCGTTATGTAGCATTTTATTAAACATGTATATACGAAGTTTCACACACGGTTTTCTTTTTGTCTTCTTTTTTTTTTTTTGTACAAGCAACGAGACTTTCAGACACGTCCTACAAACCACGCGGCGCCACGTTCTTTTTCTTTTGCATTTTTGTTGTTATAATTACAGGCACACTTTATCAGCTTCATTGAGGACGTAGCAACGCTGCATTCGATACGGCTTCTTGAACTTAAATCGATGATGAGAGAGAGAGAGAGAGAGAGAATAGCGTGTTTCACGATGTTTTGTATTATATATATATAAATATCGAGTAGATGTAATATAGGTGTACTGGACATATAGATAGACGCAGTAATTAGTGATTTAATTGTAACGAGGATCGATCTAACGATATACAATATAGGGTGAAACACCTAAAACAGGCCACCTGAATATCTCGGCTGTTACTGGTGATAGAAAAAAGTGTGTTAGACCAAACTAGCATGGTATCGAGGAGCACACAATTTGTTGTAAATAGTTTTTTGATTGGTGGACGCGTAGAGGTCATATGAAGGTCAACATCGTTTTTATAAATGGAAAGACATGTTGTTTTACGTATCATCTAGTAGAGCGTCTTAAGACGGGTATAATGACCTATTTATAAAGGTACGTAATGAAAACATATCTTTCCATTTATAAAAAACGAAGTTGATCTTATCAGAAAACTATTTATATCAGATTATTTGCTCCTCGATACCATGCAAATTTGGTCTGACAAATTGTTTTTCGATCCCCAGTAACAGCCAAGATGTTCAGGTGGCCTGTTTTAGGTGCCTTCCACTCTGTATAGAGATGATCAATCGATCGTGATTTTAATCTTGTTCCACCCTTTTGTAGGTCTCCGTGCATTTGGTATTCCCGACGAGTCGGCCGCCCGCATTGGAACGTACCACGCGTGGAGCCCCGGGTGATTGCGCCGCGTCCGATCTCCAAACGGGGGAAGCAGACACCGAAAGAAAGCGAAACGGCATGATGTATCCGATTAACGTGGTCAGAAATGTCGCCAGAACGCGGGCGAACACCAGTCGGGTGTTGGTTACGGACATTGAACTTTTGCCCAGCGAGAAACTCGCTTCAGGTTTCATGGAGATGGTACGCGGAAGACCGCCAAAAACTGGTGTTGTCTTCGTCGTGCCAGTTTTTGAGATAGAATCCCGTAGACAGCCGCCCTCGACAAAGAAACAGTTGCTCCTGGCCACGAAGGCTGGCGTGGCCGTGTATTTTCATAGGTTTGTGCCGGCGAGCATAGCGACACAATAATTTCGTATACCATACACTTGTATGTAGAGACTGAATTGAATGAATCTTTATCGATTTCGTTTAATATACACGATACGAAATCGATTAACACAGTTGTATACATAGAATATGGTACAGTAGAACCTCGATTATACAAAATGGTCAAGGGCAATACGCGGGTATACAAATAATCTGTCGTGCGCACTCCGCTTCCGCTAGGGTACAAAGTGGTGTAGGGAAGAAAGGGCCTCCTATTACTTGCTTTCGAAGGTTTCTGAAATTGATGCCAAATTAATATTTATTTTAACATTTACTTCAATACTTGAATTAAATTTACCAAGTGATAGGAGGCCCTTACTCTTTCTTCCCCTAACGGAAGACGAGTTTGCTCGCAAGGGTACAGATGCAGGAACAACTGTTTATTACACGATAATTTATATATGCGTGTGTATACAGTATTACCAGAAAACTTAATTATTTCACTCGATTTTTATTCTATTGCATCAGTACTTTTCTTGGTGTAATATACAGTAAATCGTCAATGAGTGTTCGAAGACTCCTTGGCACTGACAAGGAGAGAACCTCAGGTGTAATGCTGATCTTTTAATGAGGTTTAACACAGTGATAGCGCTTAGAATTCTGAAGTTAGTGATATTTGTTTCAGCCGCATATGGCCATTAGTTTATGAAATATTTAATATTCAGTGCCGATGAACCTTCGAACACTCATCAAGGATTTACTGCACCTTTTGATCCTTCTGCATTGTTCAGGCCAATTTGATCCAAACGTATGTCGATATGGATTGATATATTTTAATTTAATTTTAATTCAATGCAATAACATAACGAAATATTTATTTGACCGCTATGTAACAATATCAAAATGTGTTTCTAGTCGGATGAAGCCGTGTATGGTGACAAACGGTGCTCGGATAATTGAGGTTGCACTGTATATGATGTAACATTAAATACATGAAACGATGCTCATGTAACAATCCTGTTTTCTAGATTCCTCTGTTCACATTGCCAGAGGTTCCCTGGTCTTACTAGATGGATGATCAGACCGGACCCAGGCAAGGTCAGACCACTTATTATCACCAAAAGGGAGTATCCGCATCATAGATGGGAGCCCGTTTTTATCGGAACTCGCGACGATCCTTTTTATGCAGAAGATTTGTCCTGGGAAGGCAGACAGGACAAGATGAGTCAGGTGTACTAGAAATTCACCGAAAAATTAAAGTTCATTTACACACGAATTTCATAAGCACGATTTGAAACGCGGTTTTTATTTTTTTGTTGCCTCCGAATACTATATACGACGGCATGCAACAAACTTCCGAAAATAAGAGGCTAAAGTTTACATGTATGGTACTGTTATCGCAATGATAACGAATGTCATACAAACATAGCTCTACGTATCTTTTATACATAAGTACCACATATATGTTCTTTACATAAGTTACAAAAGTTTCTTCTCCAAGCAAATGTTCGAACCTCAAATCCTCATCATTTTCTTTGTTTTGAAATATCTAAAACAGTTTATCTATTGCGAGTCAGTTCAGAGGTTAGAGTATCTCCGCCGGTATTGGTGATTGTCGAAATACAATACATTCGAAATAACGAAAAAATTCATACGCGTTTGGCAATCCGTGAATCCTGTACTTTTCTCTCGAGGAAGTCATTTTGAACACCTCTTCCCATAAGAAACTTTTTGTGCGCTGTATGTACCTGCAAAATATTTATGGATGTCTACATTTACATGATGCTTTTTTTATCATTACAATGATCAGAATACACGCTTATAGTATGGTCCCTTGTTTTAGAAACACTCTGTGCAAATTACATGCTTCTTACATAATTCTTTACGCTTGAAGTGGAAGATATACCACAGGATAATCCTCTTTCCTTGTGATTTTTAATTACAAATAAAATATTGTAACGATGAGGTTTTTCTAAACGGTTAAAGTCGCTTTATGTTGCTTAATTGATCTGTATTATTTTTTTTTTTAAGAGTATTTGATCTTTAGTGGTACTTATGCTAGCATCGAGGCTCGAAAAGCTATCTACTTAACAATTCAAAGAAAAAGTATGCAATATTTCAACCTTTTATCGTTTTAATTGAAGCTAAATTAATGGGACACGAAACGTTTTGTGTATTTTAGCCGTGCAAATTATACAGAGGTCGTGAATGTACTAACGCATATAACTAACATTTATTTTCTTTTCTTTGTTCAGATGTTCGAGATGTGTCTTTTAAATTATCGGCTGGTCATACTAGACGGTGCCTTTTTAGTTCATACGCCAGGTATTAAACGAAAAACGGTAAAAGTCGACGCGGCGAGGCAAGAATTCCTGAAATTTCACGAAAGAAGAAACGCGCGGATCTATCAGCGTGTAATTAAGCGACTACTGAAACGATATCCCCCGAATCGTAAATGCGCGCACCGATAGTCAAATAGGATAGAAATTGTTCCTCTTTGTGTTCCAATCGTGATCACTTCAATACAGGATGCAAAGATAGTTTTTAATACCATAATGTACGAAAGTTATCCTATCATCGTTCTATCAATACCATTATTTTTACAAGATACATATTGAGCAAAATATATTTTAATTCCTTCACGAGAATCTCCTATTAGATAGGAGATGAATTAAAGAGATACGCTTAACACGTGTAATTATTTGAATGTAAAGTATAAGAATAATACCATGAATAATAATAAATAATTAGTAAGGACAGATAGAATCGTCTTGAGTATATGTACATGAAAATATATAATTCAATGCACGTATCATGACACTTTACATTTAAAGAAAGAGGTGATTAAGAACGGAAATAACTAACAGATAACAAATTGTTGTACGATTAAATGAATCGTAAATTATTCATAATATTAGATTCTATAAAATTAATCGTCTGTGTCAAGGGACGGTTCAATGGATGTAATTTCTAACAAAAAGTGTTGAAAAACATAAGTATGTGCTCGTCGTACATGAAGCGTGAATCTACTGATCTGAAGGACACTCGAGAGGAGGGAGGGGATATAACAAAATGCAGAAGTATAGTTCCTACATACATCTGCATACGTTCCAACTTAACGTTTTACGATTTCCCGTGTAAATATTTTAAAAGATTACGATGTTTCCTTGTTACGGTTGAAAGAAATTAAATGTGACTGCTATAGTTGAAGGTAAGTCTACTGTTTACTTGATACGATGCTAAGAATATCGACCGCCCAAATTATTATTAATTATATCCTAATCCCTTAAATTTATCGTAATGTTGATATTTATAATGAGAATTGAATAAACTGAATGTGAAATTTTACACGTTATACATGTCCTTTTAAGTCAGTGCTAGTGTGAATAAATTACTAATAATTCATACACACACTTTACAATTGCAGTCGTTTATATACTTCTTTTCAATAATGGCATTTCAGACTGTATTGTTATATGTATTGATAAAATTGAATCAATAATACTTACATTGCACTGGAAAACATTCGTTATCGGAATGATTACACGCACCTAACGTGCGTTTGCACGTATATACTTGTACATACTTGAACATATAACTATATAAAGTATACGTTATTGTGTGTAGGAATATACGTATATATATATATATATATATGTATAGTAAGGTACGGGTCATACACTTAAATGCACAACGAATGATCAGATTTGAACAAGAATTAGAGAGAAAACAATTAACCACAAGAAGTTTTGTCTCGCTCCATGGCTGAAAATAATTAGTAATTACTAATTACATACTAATTGGTAAGGAAAAAAGTTGAGCAACGCACATCCAAAGGACGGGCGCAGTCTTCGACCGGTGGCGTGTTCGCGAGCAAGAAGGTATGTATTGTTGAAGTTTGCAGTATAAAGGCGGTTCGAGTGGGTATTCGTTTCGTCGTTTCAATTTTAATGATTCGTTTACTGAAAAATTAATGGAGTTATGTTATAACGGAAAATAATAATTGCAGAAACTCGGACGATGAATATATTAACGAATATATCATCGGCTTTTTGGTCGACCGATGTTTGGTTACCGCCTAACATAACATGGAACGATATTAAACCAAATTCAGAAAACAAATATGCGGACTATCAACACTTAATTTATCCTTTACCTATGGCATTTGTGCTTCTAATAATCAGATACGCCCTCGAAAGGTAATAATCGTTCTGTTACTTATCAAATATATTTTTTCTTATTTTTGTTACAATCGTCTTTTCGTGAAGGTTATAACTGTATGCATTTAATAATTCGTATTTTATGTTACTAGAAACATTCTGTTTGTCGCATTTCTTTTCATAATGTATTTCTTTGAATATATAATATTGATTGAATTGTAAATCTCAGTTACAATGTGTAATGTAATATGTACACTCAATACGTTACTACTAACATACACCACTAAACTTCTTGCAGTTGTAATATTCATTGATTTATATTAAGCAGTATACTGCATTAATTATTTCAGGTATTGCTTCGCACCATTTGGAAAATCTCTTGGTATAAAAAATACACGTGCAAAGAAAGCAACACCAAATGATATTTTAGAAAAAGCTTATGTTAGTCGAAAAATTAAACATAAACAAGTAAGTATATTCTGATATTATAAGTATATGTACTTATATATAAGTAAGTAATATTAATATATTTGTATATATAAATTTTGACAAGTACAAATATAATTCACACGTTACCGTGACTAAATTTTATGTATATGTTTACTTATTAAGATTATAGAATTTGTTTATAGAATTAACACAACATATATCCACTTTTACATTTATTATGCATTTTCTTTATGTAAACAAAACATCAATATTATATTATATACATCATAGGCTATTCATATGGTAAATTGTGTGTTTAATTGTAAATTAGTTTGTTGAAAAAAGATTTGTGTAACCTAAGTCAAAGTATCAGAGAAATGAAATGTTATGGATTTTTTTGTAATATGTGGATATATTTTAAGATCTTGGCATTGGCTAAACAATTAGATTGGTCTGAACGACAAGTAGAACGATGGTTAAGATTGAGACGTGCTCAGGACAAACCATCAACACTTACAAAATTTTGCGAGAATAGGTCAGTATTGCTCTTTAAAGCTCTTAAATATAATTTTGTATTGTGGAAATTAATATTTCAATGTTTTGAAACTTGCTGTAATCTTTAATTAAATATACAATCTGACATTGCAATTTAGAACATATAATGTACATACGTGTGTATTAAGGTAACTTATCTTAAATATTTAATACACTTAAAATTCATTATTTCACAGCTCAAGATGTTTGTATTATACATATTCATTCCTTTATGGTCTCATAGTTTTGTGGAATAAACCATGGTTGTGGGACATAAACCATTGTTACTATAATTATCCATATCATCCAGTATCAAATGGTATATGGTGGTACTATATGATATCTATGGCATTTTATTGGTCTTTAAGCTTTTCCCAGTTCTTTGATGTGAAGAGAAAAGATTTTTGGCAAATGTTTATTCATCATATAGCTACTATTATATTAATGTGTTTTTCATGGGTTGGAAATTTGACCAGGATTGGTTCATTAGTATTATTAGTGCACGATTGTGCAGATATTTTTCTAGAAGTAAGTACAATTACTATGTACTTTTAATATATAGAATTATTCAAATTTTGTAAATTTAATTAATACACTTCAGTTAATAACTATTAGTAGATACTAATTTATGTTTATTGAACAATTTTATAAGTTCATTAGTGTATCTACAAAGTTTGACACTTACACATTAACATGTACGTGTATGTATTTTAGGCGGCAAAGATGGCTAAATATGCTAATTACCAAAAATTATGTGATTGTATATTTGCTACTTTCACAGTTCTGTGGATAATTACACGTATTGGTGTTTATCCATTTTGGATAATTTATAGGTATGTAATGTTTAAATATATATACAATATACATGAAAATCAATCGTATTATCTTGTATCTGATAATTGTATTCTATATTATAGCACTTCGATAGAAGCACCTAAGATAGTACCAATGTTCCCAGCATATTATATTTTCAATTCTCTGTTAATCTTATTATTATTCCTTCATATGATTTGGACGTATTTAATTCTTAAAATCGCATATAATGCTTTCTATGCGGGTCAAGTAAGTTACATTATGGTATGCTTGTTTCAAATATAGTATAAGATGATCTCAGTTTCATATAATTTTATGTAATTTTACAGATGGAAGGTGACATTCGTAGTAGTAGTAGCGAAGATATTTCAGATGCGTCCATGGATAGTGCTTCTTTAAATAATACTACAAATTATGTTACCAAACAAAATTTGAAACAAAGAGTTCACTAACAAATAACTTTTTAACGAAAATTTATTATAATAGTAAACAAGGCAAAATTCAAATATATAAGCAGACGCTAATTTATTACAGCAAATACATATAATGGAGGCTTGCGTCTTCTATGGAATGATAATTCAAAACTTTAACATTTATGAAGCTATTAGACAGGTCATGGATCTTCAAACTGTTTACTTTCTTTATCACCATTAATATTTTCTGAAAAAAATTTAATGCTTTTATACCAGATACGAGTGACACATACTTTTCTCATATATGAAATGTTCATTCATTACTCTTAGTATTATTAAGTACGACAAAACGAACATCGAGAACTGTAAATTTACTCTTCTTATTAATTATATCATTTATTTATATGTATTTTATTTAAAAACATAGTGAATTTTATTTCTTTTTTAAGTAAATTCCGATTATTTAATTAAACAAATAATGGACCAAAGTTTGAAAATATTCATTATCTGTACTTTCCAGCCTTCTTAAGGTCTAGTAATTGATTATGCTTAAAGACAATTATTTATTCTCTTATACTTTACAAATGTCAAAAATTGTTTTAAGATTTGTGAATAAGAAAAACTAATAATAATATGTCCAATGAGTTTATTTTTTTTTATTAATCTGCCCTATTACATATAGCTTCCTAGAAATATTTATTCCATTTCCGTAACATTAAAATATATGATAGTTCCCGTTGTAAAATAAATGTAACCTTCTCTTTACGCTAGGGACAGTATATCAAAATTTGGATTATGACAGATAAACATTCATTATTACACGAATAAAAATATTTAAAAAAACGTGTGCACTAATTTATTTACATATAAATGAGATAACAAAATAAATATATTCTTGCTCCCATTATTTGTATTATTACCTACAAACAAGTTTTGTTTTGAAATTATTTTTATTAGATTAATAATGATTATACAACAATATACCATTTAAACCAGCAGAAAAATTTAAAATTAGCGCCACTTATATAAGCATACTAATCGCCATATTAGATAGACAATATTAAGTCACAATACTTCCACTCTTAAAAAATTGTTTCATTATGTTTCGTGGAACAGTGGAATTTTCTTCATTTTCGGTAGCCACTCTTGTCTTTTTTTATGATTAAATGAGATATGGAAAGGAGGTCACCTTGAAGTGTCATTCAAATTTTAGCGGGGATTAGTGTTTTATCGTGTTTCAAGTTTTATGAGATTAGTTCTTATTTGTGAGTGAAGAAGAAAGTAAAGAAGTAAGCATGGGCGGAAAATGGTCTGGTATGGACCCTTCTGAGGTCGAAGTACCAGAATTAAAGACTTTATTGGACAGAGATCCGTATTTAAAACCATACGAGAACGAATTTCGTAAAAGGTATAGTATTTAGATTAATTTAGAATATTAATAAATTTATCTCTTATGAAATTATACTTACTTATCTGTAGCACTAATTGTTCATTCATTACTTATTCTACTACAGTCTACTGTTGATTGTTATCAATTTTAAAATCATGGTAACAAAGTAGTTTTTTAAATTTTATTTATAACTAAATTAATCATTTTATGTAACAGATATGCGTTGTTCAAAGACTATATAGAAAAACTAGAAGGTGGTGATGGCAATATAGATAAATTTTCAAGGGGATATGAAAAGTATGGAATCCATGTGAACAAAGATAACAGTGTTGTTGCAAGAGAATGGGCGCCTGGAGCACAAGAATTATTTTTAGCAGGAGATTTTAGTAAGTACAAATATCACAAATAGACAAAATAACATTAACTTGTTCGTTAAACGATAGTAGCAAAGAGGTCTATTTAAGCTGCTGCATATATATAAGATAATTTTAAAAATTAAAAAAAAGATATACATGTGTGTATATTTAGTATATATATTCTAATGTGTTTTACTTTCTTTATTTACAGATGGTTGGAACAGGACAGCTAACTCATATAAAAAATTAGACTATGGAAAATGGGAATTGCATTTGCCCCCTCTTGCTGATGGTAGTTGTCCTATAAAACATCAATCAGAAGTTAAAGTAATTGTGAAAAATCATCATAATGAATTACTGGAACGATTGAGTCCATGGGCTACTTATGTTACACAAAATAAGGCTGAAAGCATTACATACAAGCAACGCGTATGGTGCCCATTACCTGAACATGTATGCAAACTCATTTACATTTATTTCTATGTATTTATTCACGATAATTGTTAATCTTTTAAAATGACATTTTTTTGTACAGGTTTATAAGTTCAAACATCCCAAACCGAAGAAACCAGATAGTCTTAGAATTTATGAATGCCATGTTGGTATTGCAACACAAGAACTAAAGGTCGGCACATATTTAGAATTTGCCAAAGATATAATTCCACGTATTGTGAAACAAGGTTATAATACTATACAATTGATGGCTATTATGGAGCATGCCTACTATGCCAGCTTTGGCTATCAGGTATGTGCAATATATATAATTTTCACATTTTTGCAAATTTATCTAATGTTAGTAGTTTCTGATAATGAAAATGTAATAGCTATTGGCTGAAAGAAGCATAAATTTGAAAAAAATGTATTTTTAACTATTATACCATTAACCATTCTGATATTAACAAAAAGAAATGTCAAATACATTGCCATCTTTCAACCACAATTATTAGAATCTTGAAGATATAATCTTACAATACCAGCTCTTATTTTTAACATTGGAATACACAATATTGCATAATTGGCTCTTAGTTTTAAATTTGAAAGAAATATAGAGGGACACATAAAACTGGTTTCAAACGCAAAATAAATTGTTTATTTTTGCATGTTGCCCATATGCATATGAGTTCAGTGCTGATAACCGTGTAAATTGTTAAAATTGAAGCCTTTTTAAGTTAAAAATACCGTTTATTTACCGTATGGAATGTAATTAAAATGTACAGTATATGACTATCAAATAAAACTGTATTTTACGGTTGTTGCTGGTTTCATGTGCGTCACCCTGTATTAGTAATCTTTGAATGCAAAGGTGTTGACATGCCTATTAATAAACTGTATATAGTGTTTTACACAGATATCAGATGTGTATTTACATAATATTTAATTAATTTCAATAAGGTGACCTCCTTCTATGCTGCTTCATCTCGCTATGGCACACCAGAAGAATTAAAAGAATTAATAGACACAGCTCATCAGCATGGCTTGTATGTTTTACTGGATGTCGTACACTCTCATGCATCAAAAAATACTTTGGACGGATTAAATATATTTGATGGTACTGATAATTGTTTCTTCCATTCTGGTCATCGCGGAGATCATCCACTTTGGGATAGTAGGCTCTTCAATTATGGAGAGTATGAAGTACTTCGATTTTTGCTCTCTAATTTGCGTTGGTACATTGAGGAATATGGGTTTGATGGATTTAGGTAATTTATGTCCCAAACTTGTTTCGTGATATAAATATTATTTCCTTATTTATAATACATTGTATTGTATTTATGTAGATTTGATGGTGTCACATCAATGTTGTATCATTCAAGAGGATTTGGACAAGGTTTTAGTGGTCACTATGATGAATATTTTGGTCTAAATGTTGATGTTGAGGGTATAGTGTATCTAATGCTTGCAAATCATATGCTACACTATTTATATCCAGAAATCACTACAATTGCGGAAGATGTTAGTGGAATGCCTGGAGTTTGCAGGTATTGAATATATACTTAGATATCAGAATATTTTAATGTAAAGAAATAAGTAATTATTGTCAATTAATATTGAAGGCCAGTTGCTGAAGGTGGTTTAGGATTTGATTATCGATTAGCTATGGCTATCCCAGATAAGTGGATTAAGCTTTTAAAGGAAGTAAAAGATGAAGATTGGAAAATAGGAGAAATTTGCTGGACATTAAGTAATCGAAGGTGGATGGAAAAAACTGTAGCTTACTCAGAATCTCATGATCAAGCTCTTGTAGGTGATAAAACAATCGCATTTTGGCTCATGGACAAAGAAATGTACACCCATATGAGCGTAACAAGTTCCAACAGTTCAATCATTAACCGTGGAATTGCTCTTCACAATCTCATTACATTAATTACACATGCACTAGGAGGAGAAGCTTATTTAAATTTTATAGGTTAGTTTTAATACTGAAATTACACAGTTTAAAGTTTTTCTTATTTTGATGATTCATTTGAAGATGTATCCATTGTCAGGTAATGAATTTGGTCATCCCGAATGGTTGGATTTTCCTCGAGCCGGTAACGGAGACAGCTATCATTATGCCAGACGCCAGTGGAATTTAGTTGACGATGACTTGTTAAAATATAAATTTATGAACAACTGGGATCGCGCTGTAAATACTCTCGAAGAAAAATATGGATGGTTACATGCTCACCCGGTAGGGTCTAAATATTTACTTGTATTCAATAGTAGATATATTTATGTCTATATACATAGAGTACTTTTACGAATACTTTTGATGAAATATATTTTTTGTACAGGCTTATATAAGCTGGAAGCATGAGGATGACAAAGTAATTGTTTTCGATCGTGCAGATCTTATATTTGTTTTTAATTTTCACACGGAAAAGTCATTTCCTGATTACACCATTGGAGTAAAGAATCCAGGAACTTACAAAATTCTCTTATGTAGCGATAGTAAAGATTTTGGCGGGGAAGAACGTGTTGATACTAGCGTGCCACATTTTACTAAGCCAGAATCGTATTCTGCTTATTCAAACCGTATGATGATCTACATTCCTTGTCGCACTGCAATTATCTACGGCAGAGGTACAGTCACTACAAATATTAATGTTACTCATTAATTGTTGGTTATAATTAATAGGAGTCCTTTATTTTTAGAATCGTGATTATTATCTTTTATGGGCGCGGCCAAAATAAGGACTGATATTAAACTATGTACAAATGTGGAAAACTATTTTTTTTGTACCAAAATCTTACTTGCCTAAAGATTGCTACATTCACAGAAACCATACAAATTATACATTAATCACTTATCAACTTTTTTCGAAGCATGATATGAAGTTTTACTACATTTAAACATAAAAACCGTACTATACTCATGTATGATCATTAAACTACTTATACTAGAAATTATATTCAACTTAGAGAATTGCGTGAAATTCTATATACAATTAAAAGATTTATATTTTTAGATACTACATTTTTAGCATCTATTAATATTTATAATAAAAGGGATATATTGTAACATTTGTGTGATTATTTCTTTCCCATATTTTTGTACGAACGAACGTATACAGCGTAACGTATAAATTATAAATGATGTTTGAAAAAATTGAGGCACATGCGCAAATGTATTTCTGAAGACTGACATTTGTCAATTAAAATACAGTATTATCATTCTTATAATCACACTGCCTTATACTATTGGTGAGATTACACAAACCAGTGAATACGATTCTGCGTTCGTTTCATTGGCTGGTGATTTCTGTTTTCTTCTTTTTTAGTCGCTTATCACTATTACCGTACGTTAGGGTTGACTACACGATTATAAGGTGAAAATACCAAGATTTCAAGGAGGGAGTTACACTGTATAAATTTTATTCTTGTTTAAAGTGCTGACTTTTAATAAATGTAAGAAGCGAAGAGAATTATTTCCTTAATCAAAACAAAAATAAAATAATTTATTTTGGTAGTTATGTTGATCACTTTTTAAAAACAAAAGTATACATTTTTATGTATTTGTACATAAAAGATTTATATAATTATAAGTGAACCTATTTTTATTTTAACTTAAGTATTTTGTTTATACATATATTGTATTACTAAATTCTGTTTCATTTACATCATATTCTTTCATTTTACTTTCTAAAATCCACCATTTGTTTAGGCAGCCTATATCCACTACTCTTTGGTAAAATGTTATATACGGTGGTTTTAAATAAGGACAAAGTGCTTTGTACAAGGAACATGCTTCATCATAATTGTCCATCCAAATTATCGAAATTATACCTAAATTTAATCGTCGTATAATTCCTTCATTGTAACACTGTCCTAACCACTTAACATGATTTTCAGATATTGGATTTCGTATAGGATCTCCAACTTGCATTAATTTCATAGTATTTTGTAATAAATTTTCTTTGAAGAAACTCTCATCCGGGTTATGTTTATTCAAGTATATACAGAATCCTGCAACTAATGAAGTAATTGATTAATAACAGTAATGATAGTTTTTTATGTTTATTATTGGTTAAGTACTTAATACTTTTAATCAATTATATTCTAGACATACTAGCAGTATATGTGGTGGCTCGAATAGGACGTTCTTTACAATCCTTAACAACATTTTCTGCTACCTCCTTATAGTCTATGTAAACATTCTTCCAATATTTCCCTATAAACACAAATATATTTAAGTGGAACCAGTTACTTATTCGACAATATTATTTGTATATTATAACTCATTTAGAATTTACTCACCCCATCGCTCAAGAAATGTTCCTTTTAGTTTTTCTGGAGTTTCGAAGTTTTGTATTCTATTTGAAAGATCACTAATAGAATTGTTTAATTTTGTACTAAATTTATTATTTCGAAACCGAGTAAGCTGTCCATAGCTCATGTTGATCACAAAATTATAGTATTAAATATACAGCAAATATAATTTCGTTAAAAATGTGCATTTTATTCTATTCGTAACACGTACATTAAATATATAGTTGTGATGTAGGTTACCTTTTTAACTTCCAAACACAATTTATGACATGTTAACCCGAATAGATTATTGAAATATTCTATCTATTCTATACACTTCGTTCGTATTACCACCACAGACGAGATATAAGAATAGACCTAACATCACCGACTAGGTATAGAATAGATCTATCATCCAATGCTCTTTTTTGTCCTACGTTCGGAGGGCTACGTAACCATCTTACCATTTCAGTGCCAATACCCGACGTTACCGACAAAGCATGACTTTTATTCCATTTATAATACGTGTATCTAATATGATTTGGTGGGAATAAAAATATCCGATGCTTGGGTTTAAAAGATGAATATTGTAATACTGATGAAATATGATAACTTATTCTAAATTTCATCGTTAATGAACATTTTAGTAATGTTACGTTTCCCACGTTCCCTTTTTATTCGTTTTTATATTTTTTTTATCTGATAAGGTGATATAAGAATCCTAATACGCACAATCAATTACCTTCTGGTAATTGGTGAGGAAGTAATTAAACAATGAACTTCGACCCAACTAGTGCTTAGTTAGTCAAACTTTCTTCATGAAAAATAGTTTTGATCTATTATTTAACTGGTAATATCTATTGTATTGTATTTCATAAACTTTGGCATCATTGTCAAATTGACAGGATATATTTATCATAAATGGCGTTAGAGTACCATTGGAGGATTGAAAACTTCGAGAAGACGAGAGTAAAATTAATACTTTCGATCTATTAGGAAGTGGAATATCACATTTTCGGGGATAGTGTGTGTCTCTTTGTTTCCCTTTCATGATAGTCATTCCCTCCTGAATTAATCTTGGGTACATATAAGAAAATATATTGAAATATAATTCGGCGGTAAATATTCTATTTCGTTCAAATAGAAAGTTGAGCAAGCAGGAAAGCGACCAATCCTCACGTTCTTCACCAACCGACGCACCAATCACAGGCCTTATACATAACCGAATCAACCAATGACAGCCAGTCATCCAGCCTAACGGTCATTCGTCTCAGAGAAGCTGGACTGATTAGACGTGTAGTGATCTCGCTCGTGGCGAAGTAAGTATTATTACTTTTCACTTTAAATTATTTATGCTATTAGTATCTACATTACCACTCTATCGTTACATTTGTTTAGTATCTATTCAATTCAATGCAAATAATCGTAAATTAACTCGGTATTGCTGGATAAAGTGAACTGGTTTCACGATTTCTGTTCTCTCCCGGTACCAATTAGTATTTACGCAGTTTTTGTTTAATTTGCAATCTTTAGCGATACTCTTTTAGTCGATAATTGTTTCGTTGTGACTCAGTCATTGTTAATTTAGTATAATTACTTGGTATTAACGTTTATTTTCTGTTCCAGAATTCCGGCTAGAAAGAACACGCCAACGATGCCAATCCCATTAGACGCAATTTGGCGGGAAATTGGTGAATTCTGGTGATGTATTACAACAAAATAGTTAATATTCCACTAGATATTTTTATTTTAGTACACTTTTACTGTTTTGACCGTAAACTTGATCGCGATTTTCTGATTAACTGTGCTGAAAGCAAACAAGAATTTTTTCGAGAAATATTTCGCGTTCAAACGCAATTGAAGCATTCAATATGGCTTCTTGTTTGACCATTAGGAAATTTAAACGGGAATGTTCCAGAAGTTTCAATTCGAAATACTCATAGTTTACTGGATCTCGGTCGCGAAATTGTTTAAATTTTAATAATTTTTCGAGTTTATCATTACGATGTCATCGTATTTGTATTTATATACGGTTTCGGGTGTAAGTTTAATTATACATATAGAAGCTGCGTAGTTTACGATGCTCATCGAAGCTTAAGTAAATAACGAAGCTTTAATCCTTGCAACGATTTTCTCAATATTTATAAAATTCGGTACGCGATGTAGACAGAAATAACGAACATTCTTAAACTCTAACGACGAATGTCTTCAATATAATATATTAATAACAAATATATATCAGTAATGAATATAATATATTGAAACAATGGAGAATTATTTTGGAATATTTTTTAACTATGGTACCTTTGCGTAGTTAAATTCATATTTGAATATTTATCGTCGAATGATAGTATTTTCATGATAAAAACACTTGGTAAAATATAAAAATAAAAGGGCTAAGCCGGTGCACGTGCGCCGTATTGTATTTCTTTCCCCCCTTTTTTTTCCACAGTATTTGGTGGCCGCGTGCAAGGCGGTCGAGTCGAGTCAGTGTTTGTTTACATCGAAGTTTTTTCTGTTTATGCGGAGCGAACTGGCGCCGATTAGGATCTCACCGGAGATGTATTATGGTCTTCGCGGAACTAGAGTCAGTGTTTGTTGCGTACAATCTCAAATTATTTTCAGAGTTTCGGGACACTCTTTGCTTTGTGTGTCGCGAAAGTAGAATCATTTGTTCGCCGGTTGAGATTTTCGGTCGCGATAGTTTTTTATTTTCATTTTTTTTCTACTTGAAAGTACTCGTTCGCGAAAGTAGAGTCAGTGCATCACTGAAGTGGATTTTTGGGCGAAGCTCTACAAATAGAGATTGTAAGTATCCTTATATTTTATTACTTACACTGTTCAACTGAAACAGCTAGAGTTTTGAGAAGAGGTTATTACGTGTTCTGTTCCTTTGTTTCAGATTTATCAGATGCTGCATAAACAAACACTGCAGAGGATGTCCTTGGGCGAAGCTGCACCATTTTTCAAGATTCGTCGAGAGAGAATATTAAAGGAAGTTCTTCAGTCATCGGGTGAGTGAATATTTTTATTCCTCCAGTCCCCAATCATGTCGTAAGACGATTGGTCCGAAACGGCACGGGCGACTGGTTGTATACGTGCTTTTTGCGAGTACAGTGAAACGCGAGTAATATATGATCTGTTATGTTTCTTAGTTAGGTTAAGGTCTTCTTGTACGCCGCGTTTATTATTAGTAACATAATTCATAACTATTTTGTATTAAAAGAGTATGAGTTGAATATTTAATGTTCGGCTTAAAGGCGAACATCATACAGATGAAATCACATTGGTTATGATGTACTTTCTTTAAGTGTTCAATTTAACATGAGATATTAATCTTGGATATTTCAATAGAGATCATTCTATTGTTTAAATAGTTGTTATTTTTTTATTAATTGAGTATATATTGAGAACGTGGCAGTTTGTTATTTATTTCACTAGCTAGAACTGTCATTTTAATGCAGTCGTTTGGTATCATTTATGAATGTAGAACGAAATACGATCTTCGTAAGGAAACTTGCAGAACATAGAAAATACAATATATTCACAATGGTCTATAAATAACGGTCAGCTAATTAAAAGAACAATAATCAACTTGTTAACGTGTGAAATAAATATCAACCGTAGATTCGAATATAGAGTAGAAAGAACAGAAACCACACCGGTATGTTTAAAATAGAGGGGAAAACGTGGTGGTGCTTTCTTTGATAGGCATGTTATAGCAGTTAGCGCAATAACACGAGACGCGACAGCACGTTTCAATCCCGGAACCAGTGTTGCGAGACACAAAGGTATCATTCGTATTTGCAAGTTCCATGAAATAATGGAACACGTGTACTGGGAATCGCGATAAAGTATCGGTGCATAAAAAGAAGACGTATTAAGTTATGTCACCTGTGCATCGATATGCACGACCTAGTGAAAAACCGCGTGTTATGGAACAATTTAACACGTTGTGCATGTATGACCATTGAACAGTGCATTGTGATTTCCAGTTATCGTGGCCGGTGTTTTCGTTGCCAATGGCAAAGAACGCATACGGTTGCGTACACGGGTAGAGTACCGAGACGTACTGGCGTGTACTCACGTCCACTTTAATGGAGTGTGAGCGTTAAATGCAGGGAAGGTACTACTGTGTTTCACCAGCATGTATAGTGTTCCACAAACATATTTGTATGGTCGACGTATATACTCAGAAGGAATGAGTATTTATATTCTGTCCGTTAAAAAAGGGCAGGCCCAGAAGTGTCCATTTACTCTTGCGAGCAGCATTCTTTCCCTCCGGAGGTACCCTGACTATGGGATTTGGATTGACTCGCTCGAGTCAATCTGAGGTCGGTAGTCGGGGAAACCTACGAGGGGAAGCTTGTAATTGCTTGTAGCTCGTGGGCGGCACGTGGACACCTTTGGTATTAGAGTTAATTTTTATTATAATTAGTATTTAATAAAATTTTATTTCACCCATTAGTCTGTTAATTATTATTTTCAACAGTTATACCGTCATTTGTAGACAAATAACTAAATGAATATAACTTAAATTTATTTACTATTTGAATACAGTATATAATATATCAGTTTACTTGAGAATATGCAATTCTAGATTAACAGTTTGTACTGAATTATATCAGAAATACGTACTACCACGTTGCTCTAAGACATAAATAAAAATTAAGTAGTGTATTTTGATGCACTAAAAAAAATAATACTACAGACCATGTACAAGAAGGCGTTTCGCGACGGGTAGATTTCTGCGTCAAAGTGACATGTTTGTTACACTTATGTTATGTCTTATATTGACTTTGACGACGGGATCGCCCGAGGGTTATTCAATACATAGAGTCATTTATCTAATTGCAGAGTCTTGCTTAGAGTCTTAATAACTAAATTCTACAATATTAATAAATAGTCAATCTTTGATTTTCAATTTTTATTAATACAAAGTCGAGTCACTTTTATTGCAAAATGAAATGAAAAAGAATAAAAGAGAAGTAGCCCGTTAGAAGAGCAAGAAGTAATAATTATTTTAGTTAGGATTTTCAGGGTAATTATTCCGTGTTCGTTGCTCGAACCCTTTCACGTGCCCAGGTGCTACTTGGTTGGGCGAGAGCAACGGGGAACGATGACTTGATTTCATATAATAATAACATGTCTATGCGACTGGCAATGCGTTAGCTTACCGTGCACGACGTATTTTCCACTTAT